TTTGCCCCGTCACAAGTCGTTCGTCTACAACAACAAACGGGCTAAAAGGATGCGCCGATTCAAAGTGGGCTCCACATTCGCGAAGCCTATCTTCAATGAGATATGGGAGGCAATGGTCGATGTTTAGAATTTTTTCCTCTTCATTTGTGGGGCCAGTGCATCTTCTGCCTTTAAGAAAATTCTTACACAATGGGGAGGCTTTTGGCTTGTCTTTTTCTTCTGACTGGCACGAAAACAAGGCACACACACCATGCCCAATGGTCCCTATGATACCGCGATTCTTGAAATAAACGGCATCGATAATCTTACAAAGAGTATCATTTGAAGCGAGATCCACCATGGTCGCATACTTTCCGGGTATAAGGACAATCGAATATTCTTCGGGATTAATGCTGCTGAGCGGTTTAGTGTCATGGAATCTATCGAGCAGACTGGTATCTCTTAAGAACTCGCGGACATATGAGTCCTTTTCTGTTTCCTCTTTGGAACTTGGGTCAACAGGTGCCATTCCACCATGTGGCGTAGCAAAGGTAATGGGAAGCTTCATTTTCTTACAAAGATTCAAGTATATGTAAGCAACTTCCTTGATGTCGAAGCCCGAAACTGTTTTTTGCTCCGAGGAGGGAGTGGTGCAGCATTTATCACCGGGTGGGCATGATGAGGAAATCGTGTTTGAATTGGTTAGAACAACAAGTACAGATTTTGTGGATGAAGGCATTTTTTGGGCTTGGAAATTTGCACGCCCATTTATAGTACAGAGAAAGTTAAGAGTTGAGTTTGATTTCTGACATAAAATAAACTTAAATTGATCAATCGCCTGTTTATTAGCAAATTGAGTTGTTGGAGACAAATTAACAGCCAACGGTTTGACAAACTGCCTCGGCAACAAATTATTTTATTCAATTGAGGAGCGGATTAAATTCCAAGGCAACGATGGGCCATATCGTTTGGAAATATTGACGATTTTCTTGGAGCATTCTTGCGAGTTCGCAATGCTGTTTATCATGATATCGGACTTGTTGGGCAATAATTCTTCACATCGTGTTGGATCCACCAGGATAATTTTCTCTGGAAGGTCAGAGTTGATATCCATTTCTTTGGGTTGGCTTAAAGGTATAATGGCAATAGTTTTGGAGGATAAATTTATATTGGGAGCTATCAAAGGTATTTGAGACAGGCTTCCAGACTTGCTGACAATCACCGATCCATCCTCCAGCTCGTCTATGGTCACTACAGGAAGGAAAAATGCCTTCAGCACGGCCACAGAGGCATCAAGGATTAGCTCAAAAATAGATCCGTCATCAACAAGAACAAGCACCTCGAGATAAACGGCCCAAACGGCGCTGGAGCCTTCATTGATTGGAAAGGTAGAGTGCTGCAAAACCGGATAAAGGATCGAATGCAACGCTTGGGAATATCTGATGTCCTTGTCTTTAGAAGGGTAGATTTCACTTGGGCTTGAATAAAATGAAACTTTGGTTGCAAGAAATCCACATCCAGACACACTAGGCGTGGTAACCTGCGGAAAAATGTTTATGTAAATGACTGAATTTCCTTTCCTAACGATGTGTGATTGATACTCTGAAGATTCAGACAAAGAGGCCTTGGATATTGTAAAGTCTGGTCTGGCTTCGGAAAACGACCTCCCATCCGATCTAAGTCCCTCCGCGAAAAAGGCCTCATGATACTGCTCAGGGCAAACGACGCTGAACATGAATTTTTTTGTAATTTAAAATTGACATGTCCATTTGCGCCAAATTCAATTTTATTTTCCCAATGGCAACAAATTTCTGCAATACTGTAGGAGAATGGCTTTGTTCCAATACTTTATTCTTAGGATGATACGTATGCAATCTTACAAGACATAAGCAAAATCACGGCATACTTTTCTCCCGGCTCTGCTTCTGCTAAGGAAGGCGAGCATACTTGGCAGCTACATGAAGATTGTTGGAAACGCATCGGTGAGATTTGCAATGCCGTTCTTGCATGCATTAAAATCCATCCATCGGCAAACATCTGCTTGTCCGAAATTGAGCCTGTCTTTTTAAAATCGTTTTCATACAATTCGCCTCTTGCACAAGCTTTATCCACATCGGTAGCATTATGTCCATTTGATAAGATAGATTGTTTCTGATAGAACAAAACTGTCCGGCAGCGCCACTGAGCTTGTTGCTAGAATCGCCGAAATTTATGTTTATTTTTCGAAACACTCTGTTGAAAGCTTTTCTTTTTTGGACAACGCGTCATCATGCAGCATGCTTACCAGCAATTCGAGCCAGTATTCCATTTTCGTTGCCTTGCTAAAACTGTGTGGACGTGCTAATCGCATTTTTGTTGTTCGTTCTATTTCGGCTGTTGAGGCTCTGATAAAAATGGGGCTTCCTGCCCCGTTACTAGTGCATCGTGTCAATGAGATGATAGCATCTCAAAACAAATCGCTTAGACAATATGCATCTACGTTTGTGTTGAAATTTCTTGAACAAGGTTTCGTGTTGCTACTGACTTACTTTAGAGGGCATCGATCTGCAAGAAGAAGAAAATCTTTTGCTAGGAAAATTCCTTTTGGTGGCCATAGCCGATGCCTCACAAGAGGTCCGCTCAAATGCCGTTGCAGCGTTTAAAATATACCGGTCAAAGTTTCCGGATTTCGCTTCAAGGTTGGATTTTGTTTATAGCTTTGCTAGGTTTCTCGAAACTGCCTCACCGCATGCTCTTAAGGTTTTGCAAATCAAGGTCAATTTATCTGGAGGCACCACTCCTTCTGTTTTGAGAAGGACTGAACTTTTTCGAAGATCAGCGTCCGCCTCGACCTCTGCCCAGCATACCCAGTTGAATGAAAAAAACTACATTGTTGGCTCTAATTCAAAGCTTCAAGGATCAAATGCAGCTGACGACGTTATCATTTTCTCTGCGCCATCAAATGCCAACCCAAGCGGCGGGGGAAGATTTGGTGCTTCCGTACGGATTTCTAAACCGCCATCGCCAGAGCCATGCTTGGTTAGCGGGTTTAGCACGATGCAACCACCCTCCTTTGAGGCTCATCACAATCTTAAAACGCCCGCCGTTGTTACTAAGACCAGGGTTTCATCTATTGAGTCTGGAGCGGCGAGAATTCCGCTTCCTAGACCATCCGGCTCGATATTTATTTCACCGCCATCAAGAGACCCTTGTATGCAAAGCTCAGCCAGCACTATGCCAAAGTTAAATGAGGAGGAAGATTTTCGGCCACCCGTCATTGATTCTTCGCTCCTTTTTCCGCTGAAAAGCGCAAAATGGGAAGTTAGGGCCAATGTGCTTGGCACTCTTAAGCAGCTTTTCTCCAAACGTGGCCAAATTTGTTCGGTTGAAAAGCTGACTAAAATCATACCGCTTCTTGTCGATATCTGCCTTTATGATAAACATGCCAAAGTTGTATTTTTGGCTTTTGATGCTCTTGAAGCTATGCTTGCTCCTTTTGCATGCTGTCAGGCCCCTGGGGACTTGACGGCTATTCTCCATTCGATCAGTGGCCGATTGTGTGAATTAATTGTAAAAGGATTCCAAACTGCCTTGGCAAAAGGGGAGCGAATCAATAATATTTCCTATCCAGTGGCCCTCAATTCGTCTTCCATTGTAAAGCTAATTTCGCTGCTGCTTCATTTGGATGTTACGGCTATGAATTGCCGCGCAGGGTTGTATTTAATCTCGGGCATTAAATGTAATTCATTTGCTTCCTCGCAAAGCTTTAGATCTACTTTGCTTGGAACTGTGATCCCTGCTGTTATTGCTCTTCTTCCACTGGCGGTATGCAATTCAAGAGTGAAGAATATCCTAGATTGCCTGATCTCTTGTAATACCCTTTTTTCGGACAAGAGCTTACGTCCTCACATTGACAAATTACTCGCCTCTTTTTTGATTAAATCCCATGCGGTAGTATTGGCGTCGTCAAATAGAGACCCCAGGCTTTCTATGATAATTAAAGGCCTTCCCTCTGCCCTTTTGCATGCTACACAAGAGATGCAGGAGAATATCCTACTCGAAGAAAGTCTGTCGTTGTCTGTTTCTGCAGCCGAAAATGAACCTCTGATTGAGGAATCTGTGCAATCGTACAGACCAACCAGCCATGAAGTGCCTTGCATTGCCACTTTTCATGCCGATTCACATAATCATACGAAGGAAAGTGCGGGTGTTCAGAAACTTGGGGATGAAATGGATACCAGCACAAGCCCGAACGCAAATGTGGCAACTTCAGTTGAGAGTCCAATTGTAGCAAATGAAGTGCATATGGCTGCCTCAATTTTGCAAGACAACTTGGGCTCCAGTCAATCGCCACTCCACGCTATCGTTGGCAAAGAAGCTACCATGAACCATGATCAACCACATCCCAATCAGGACGCATTTGCAAACGAAGCTGCTCGGTATGATATCACTAATGAATGCGATATCACTAATGGATGCGATATCACTAACGAATGCGATATCACAGATGGAGATGTGTTCATCAATGAAAACTTGGTAAGACTTTGTTTGTTTGACGAATGTAGGAATTTGACATCGAATGGTATGACAAGACGGTTATTCTTGATCCCTCGCAGTTGGAAGGATTTTATGAACATATTGGCGAGTATTCTTTGCCACACCTTGACACTGCATTGGAGCCTTCCAACATACCGATTCACATGTAAACTACATGCAATCGAAAAGACAACATACGAGACCGGATCAGCGAGCGGACATCATCCAGTTTCATTATATAAAGCAGTGCATAGCATATCACATCTCCATTGTAGCCGCGATGGCGTTGGCATTTGTATTGATAACTTGGTTGTGGATCTTTACTTAAGTTGTTTATTTACAAATAGACCTCATCAAGTCTGCCAGATAACTAAACGAAAGGGATGTCCAATAAATGCTACCTTGATGAGTTTAGTATGCAAGTTCCTCCAATTAAAAGAGAAGATCCCAGTTCTTGGGCATTGTATAACGAAACAAGCCGCATCTCCTCAAAGGTAACTCCATTGATAAGGAATATGATCGCTTCCTTGGGCCTAATCATGAGAATCGCAAAACAGTTAACTTTTCTTTGACGGGTTGGTCGAAAAAGGGAAACTGCTTGTCCGATAACTTTCCTTTGATAAGAAGTTCGATCACTTGCTGAAGCTGCGGCTTGTGCCGTGTATAGACCAACTCCACGTCATCCTTTGATGGGAAATAAACCAAATTAATGCACTACCTTGATCCCGGACGAAAATGCCTGGCGTGCACGGGTAAATATGGAGTCCTTAAATATGTTCATAGCAGAGGAGTTGGAGCCACTTGCGTCACACTCAATTTTTATGTCAAGAATGGAGAAGATGCGCCTGAGAGAATCCAGAAACTAAAAGTCTATTCAACACACCAAATACCTCGATTTGTTCGTTGGTGAGATCTGGAAACAGCTGCTTTATCTCGGAAAAAGTTCTCGATGAATAGATTCCCAGCTTCACGATCGACAACACGGCCAATTTAAACTTCATTGCATCGTCGTGGATCAGCTTTTTGGACAGCAGAGACTTTAGTTGAGAAATGATGATTTCGGCCTCAGGATCTACAGAAGCATTGTTTTCAAGACCTAAATACATGCCGCCGAAGCCTTTTTTTCCCGAGGCAGAGGAAAGCGTTGCCGACACCAAACTTTGCTCAAATTCGGAAATTTCGTACAAAGAAAGATGATCAACGACATTGTGAAGTTTCTCCAAAAGCTTGACGTGTTTTTGGACATTTGCTTCGCGTTCAGAAAACTGCCCGTGTTGCTCGGTAAATCGCTTCATTTCGGAAAGAGATTCAATTTTCAAGTGTTTTCCGCGCATGTCAAAAAACTCTTGAATGTACGTTTTAAGAGCAAGGCCAACATCCCCATAATATTTCAGCCTGTTTTCAGAAAAAAACGGATCTCGAGATTCTTGGAATGAAAGGGCTATGGGGCCGGTGTTCGTCGAAGCAGGCTGCTGATTTTCTTCATCTTGCTCGTCTAGCAGAATCCGATCGTCTTTAATGTTAAAAAACTCGTGTAGCATTGATTGGTATGACCACGGAATCAAAAGAGGGGTTATCGGGTCGATGCTTCGATCTAAAAGAAGTAAAATTGGCGCCGTGTCGCACACCCGCGGAAAAGAAAAGAGCTGCGGATCCTCCTTGAGCATATCCTATTTTTAGCAAAAGATGCGCCTACACTCAATGATCTTGCCAACTGGTACGTCATTGGCGAGGATGCCATGTACCTAATCAGCGGTCTTTTCTGAAGCGTCAGGATCAATGCAGCCAGCGACTCTGTAGATCGGTACAAGGCATCTTTATCCCAATGGCCAATCGACTCTGCAGGCATACAGTGTGGAATGCCAAGATAGAAGGAGCATTCGCTAGCCAGAAATACATCCAAGAACAGTTCCTAAACTTAGAAAAAAAATCAACACTGATTTCAACGACTCGCTCTTGAAAGTCCTGCTTTGCAAGAAATTCGATCTGCGATGGCTTGACAAAATTCGCAAAGTCTATGCATTAGTCATAGCGAGCGGCACATATGGAGTAAGAGGCGTATTTTGGCGCGGCAAGTTCGGCAGCAAGTGCAGAAATGATTGGCGGTGTAGGTCTGACAAACACAATGCAATTTAAACACCTCAAGCTGGAACGCAGCTCCACATTTTCAATAAGGTCGACCAGGTAGATCTCCTTGGTGAGCAGATAGGAGAGGGGCACGATCAAACTCAAATATTTGATCTACATCATAATATGCAAGTTGCAGATACTGTCGTGGAATCCACAAGCATCACAGTGGGCCCACTCGCGGAGCGTGTAATAGCATCAATGTACCTCTGAAAGCTCTTCAGCAAATTCATGGGTAAAATTGAAACCTGAAAATTGAAAATTGAATTGCATTTGGCAATCACAATGCAAGTTTTGATTACTTGGAATGGGGTCGAACTTTTGGAAATTGGACTGGAATTTGGAAATTGGTTTACAATTTTGTTCAGTGTGGTTGGGGTTGCATTTTTTCACATTTAAAATCTAAGATTCCGCAGCATCGTATTCTTGATGGGGGCCACGGAAAGCAAAATTAACATATGCGATGCCCTCAAGTCCATCGCATACAAGGAAAAGATATCGGAGATTGTATTTTATTTTCTCTTTCTATTAGCCATTTCTTGAAGATGAGCATCCCTTCTGGTCCACTCTATGGCAAGACCAAGGGCTGCCGCTTGAGGAGATACTTGAGAAAATCCCTCCAACAGTAATCAGAGAGGCACTCCATTCCAACCCAGAGGCGGTATTAATCATCCTCACAAAGGTAAGCCCTTTCGTCTCTCAAGCGCAGCTTGTTGCCGTGATCAAGGAGTTTCTCGCACCCACCTTTTCGGGCCAGTTTCCCAGTGTCCGACAATACGTGGCAGATTCGGCCACCATCCAAAAACTGCTACATGCAACGCGAATGCTATGCAGGATCCTTCCGATCATATTTGAAGATCAGAAGCTACGAATCCTTTTTGCTCAACAGCACTCTGTGCCTATAGGCAGTGCCGTTGACTCGACCGAAGAATGGGTACACGATTTGCTCTTTTTTTAGTGTGGACTGGCGCCAGCTGTTCTTGATTTGCTCTTTGTGCCTGGGTTTACCATCCCTCCCAATGCCACGGACGAAAATATCAAGGTTTTCTACTCGATCTGGGAGTCCGGAATTGGTTCTGAAAAGCAGGTAGAGTCGTTCCAACAAATCGACCTCAACCGCATGGAAATCATACGCCTCATTCTTGTGCTGTTTTCATGGCGCATGTTCCAGGAGCCATGTATTAATGTCCCTTCCTATTTGTAGCTTCGCGAGAGTTACCGCCATTTTCTTTTTTTATTGCGTGTACCCTGAAGGAGCCGCTCGTGCTCTCGCTTTTGTGTTCATTGCTCAACGTGATTCTTAAATTTGACCCGAATGGCTGGGGACTACCGTAAATCCATTCGCATAATCGTTCATAGGTATTCGCATCTTTTCTTTGCCGACGAGTATTGCGAACAATTTGCTTCTCTTTGCGTCCAATTACTAAACTTGCTGCTTGATTTTGACCCCGCCACATATCTACTGGATGCAACGCCTTGCCCATCTGAAGAACCGCGTGCAAATCACACTTTGAAGCCCGAATTGACTCCAGAGCCCCAGCCCGTTTCTATTCCGGAGTCGATATCCCCTGAACCCGTTTCAAACTGCTCCGTGACCGAATCGAGCCCAGAATTGGGGGTCGGTGACCTTTTCAAGTCCCCCATTCTAGATGATGTCAACCTTGCCAGCGCAAAAGCTGAAGATATCAAAGAAAATGATCCCCCCACCCATACGAATACACGCTCGTTGCTTGAAGATGTCCCTCTAGAAATTGATATCACTGGTCCGTCGCTCAGAGCAATCATATTTGGCCCCGAAACCTCGGGCGACATCAAGGTTAGTCTGCTTGTCTTATTTTTTTAGACGTTCGGCAATAGCTTCCGAAACTACTTGGGCAAGCTGTACCGCGAATCCGACTTCCGTCGGATTTATGCAGGCTTTTTGGCGTTGTTGACCAATCCCATTCGGGTAAGTAATTTCCCCACTTGCCATAGGCTTCTTCGGCAGTGCTCCCTGCATCTGTACATCAGATTTCGGTCTACCCTGAGATCATGATTCTACTGTGGAGGCTGATTGATCTCAATTCAGCCTTTTTCAAGTTCATCGTGTATGAGGAATCGATCCTGGACTTTGTCTCGGCATTGACATATTACGCCTCGGAGGCTGAACTCGATCAATGTAAGTGCGTTCTTTTAAATCCAGCTGCCGACGGGTTGGTACACCTATCCTGCTTTGTGCTGCTGCAGCTTAGCAGTGAGCGCGAACTGGCCATCAGGCTTAACACACCGTATACGGATTTTCGGGTCCACGGCCGACACTTGCCTGAATTTTCTGGCTCATATGGAGACTTTTTCGTGCTATCCATGGTTCGGATCCTTGGGGCCAGCAGCAATCGCCTGCTTACGATTGGTGAATGCCTGTTGACGGCAATTCTGAACATTTCGCCATACTTGAAGGTGCAAATACCCAAGTTTATCTTTTAGACTCTTTCTCCCGTCACAACACATCGGCTTATTGCGTTGTTTGAACAACTTGCACGCCTTTCCGTTGACCGCTCATCGATACCGCATGCCAAGTGTGCCCACCTGCTTCTACGCACGTTCACCACCATGATGCAATACCAATACGACGGCATGGTGTGTCTGATTGCTGGATTAATGCGTTCAAGAGCTTTCTTCGAGACACTTGCCAAGTGGCGGTATTCAGATTATGTCATGGGCGAAGGCATCGGGTCCATTTTCAAACGGGATCCGGAGATGCAAGCGGAGATCTCTAGTACGCATCGTTGGACCGAAGAAGAGGTAAATGTGGCAACTGATCCGTAGTTCATGGAAGCATTCAAGCTACTTGATTGTTCACTGCTAGTCAGTGTCTTTAAGTGCCTCGATCCTGATCTCAAGTTGCTACTCAAGTAAGTTTTGGTTCAGTGCTGATTTTTGCATTTCCCTGTTGAATGTTTCCCGCTTTTGTATCGATTTATTTAACAATAGAAGAGATGATGCCGTCGTAGCTGAGGATGAAATGGTGCGGTTTCTGCGCAAACGCACGCTAGTGGGGTTGGTACCACTCAACTATCCTCTACAGGTGATCCGCTTTAGAATGAGCCCAGAGATCCAATCGTGGCTCACCTCATATATGTATGGAATTGTTTGTCTGCATCAGGAGCAGGCCTCGATCTGGAACAATACGGCCATCAAGCTTTTTGTGGTACGCTACGAAGATTCGGAGCAAGGTATGGGCTTGGAAACATCTACCTCAGAATCTGAGTGCCATAACGACATAGTACTGCCTTTAATGCCTTAGGAAATTAATTTCTTTCAGCTCAATAAAAATTCACAAAAGAATTTGTTTCAATCCCCGGTTTGGTGGAAATTTAATTTAATTTAATTTGGTTTAATTTCAAGCCTAGCCAATAATTTTAAATTAATATTCAATGAGCAGTGTCCTGGAGGAGGGCATGAAGCGCCTTGCCGTGTCCACAGCGACTGATGCGTTTGCGGCAAAGGAGCCCTTCTCTATTGTCTTTATTGGCCATGTAGACGCCGGTAAATCGACCCTTGGTGGCCACATCCTGTATGCAACGGGTCAGGTGGACCAGCGTACTTTAGAAAAATACGAGCGCGAGTCCAAAGAGCTTAATCGTGAATCGTGGTATTTATCGTGGGCACTGGACACAAACCAAGAAGAACGTTCAAAAGGCATCACCGTCGAGTGTGGAAAGGCATCTTTTGAGACGGCTCGTCGTCGCTTCACTATTCTCGATGCTCCAGGACACAAGAATTATGTGCCAAACATGATCAGTGGAGCTGCACAGGCAGATATTGCAATCTTGGTCATCTCGGCACGTAAGGGCGAGTTTGAGACGGGGTTTGAACGCGGGGGACAGACGCGCGAGCACGCAATGCTAGCCAAAACACTTGGCGTCCGCCGGATTGTTATCGTCGTCAACAAGATGGATGATTCCACCGTGCAATGGTCTGAGATTAGATACAAGGAAATCGTTTCCAGACTGACAACATTTCTCAAGGGATGTGGCTTCAAGGAGCGAGATTGCGATTTTCTACCACTTTCCGGCTTCACAGGGGATAACCTCGTCGAGCGAATCAAAAAGAGCATTTGTGCTTGGTATGATGGGCCCTCATTGTTACAACTTCTTGACGAACTGCCCTCATGGGAGCGGAAAGTCGATGCACCCTTCATGATGCCCATTTCTGAAAAGAGCAAGGATATGGGCACACTTCTTTCGGGGAAGATCGAATCGGGCTCGCTTGTTCGTGGGTCGCACCTTTTGGTGATGCCTAATAGGCGAGAGATTGAAGTGACCTCCATATTTTTTGAAGGTTCAGGTGAGGTTGAGGCTCAACGTGCGTCTTCTGGCGACATTGTTCGCATCAAAGTAAAAGGAATTGAGGAGGAAGACGTCTCGCCAGGATTTGTACTTTGTGATGTGGATCGTCCAATTTCCGTGGTTACTCGCTTCATGGCACAGATGATGATAGTCGAGCACAAGAATATCATATGTCCGGGATACACTGCTGTTATGCATGCCCACTCGCTAGTCGAAGAGGTTACCATTATCAAGTTTCTTTTCCTACTTGATCCGAAGACTGGGGAGAAAACCCAAGCAAAACCAAAATTTGCAAAGCAAGGCCAGACGCTCATTGTCGATATCAAGTGTTCAGGCCCCGTCTGCTTAGAGACGTTTGAAACGCACCAGCAACTGGGTCGCTTCAATCTCCGCGACGAGGGAAAGACCATTGCAATTGGCAGGATTCTGCGCTTAGCTTCCTCCTCTGCCCCTACTGACTTGCATGTCAGTCAATAATAAACCTATTTGGAGCTGCACTGTTACCGACTTGAATCGTCGATGTGGCACTGTTACATTACGTGCTGGCAATGGCCCTAGTTTTGGATTCCGTATTTTCCAAGTTTGCGCCTACATTCTAACAAGCAGATGTGCCAATACTTATGACCACCTACATGCAAGTTGAATGCACACATTTTCCTGGTGCCCAAATGGGCCAAAACACTATTTATGTGTGATGCCAGCGGTTTATTGACGATAAATACTACAGCGTCTACTTGGCGGCAGCAGTGGCGATCTTACGGGCCCCAGAAGCTGCACCAGCCTACTGTAAAAAGTATATACCCTACCTTGTAATTGAAGCGGGGGACATGGCGAACGCGGCGTCCATCACGGGAACGTACTCTCACCACGCGCGAATGAATGGCGCATGAGACACAATATTGCATCTTGATGTAGAGCTTTGGAAGGGCATATTCGTCATAAACGGATGCTTCGGAGATGTCGCGCACAGCGGCGCTTTCAACGATGTTTCGGACAAGGAATCGTTTGACAGCCTTGTCTTTGGGTGTGCAGCGCCCACAATTGACACAACGAATGGGGTTTACATGTCCGCGACCGTGCTTTGAACGTCCACAATTTCTACGTTTTTGGGTCTACAAAGAAAGATAAATTAGCATGATCTACCATTTCCGGTGATGGATGTAATCAGAAATAAATCGACGAAATAATTGGAAATGTTCTCTTCGAAATTTATTACCAATTGGCAACTTAATTTTAATTTAGACTTTAATTTTAATAAAGTGTCTCATACTCGATGACAGAAGTTCTTCTTGCACCCTCCTCTATCATATCGAAGCCGAGCAGGGAGAGTAGCTCGCTTTGGTCTTTATAGACTGTAAATGCAAAGTTTACCAGCATAGCCATCAGAAATACGACCACAAGAACGGATGGACCGACCAGGTCGTCATACGGGCCTGGATCTCGTTCCCGAATTTTCTTTGCCCGCCAAAGATATGTATATAGCGCATAGAATGAGAACACTACCGAAACAAGGGTGAAAATATATCCCGAGATCTTTGCAGTCTTGTGCCCCAGTCCTACGAGTGCGGTAGAGACACCCCCCAAAAAAATGGAAAAATGGAGCCAAGAAAGAAATGTTCGCTCATTCGCAAAGAAGACCTTCGGCTCCACCCGTACAGGAACAGCTATTCGTTTATTAACGAGGGTATGGTTTCCACTTGTTGTCTGAATCCTGCTATTTATTCTGGGCGATCTTTTTGCAGGGGGTGTCAGTGTCCTGGTAGTTAGTGAATCCCTTCTTATGATTTGGGGTCTCACGGATGACCTTAAAAGCAATGGATGCTGCTGCTCTTCACTTTGGTTCTTGCTAGATATATCTATGATTACGTGATTGTTATTGGGGTTCAATGAGGAGCCTTGTTTCTGCGAATGAGAACTAGCACTCGATGGTTGCAGTTGCGATCCCAAATCTGCCTGTTGTGAATTAGAAGATGCAACTAACAAGGGGGTGATTGATCCCGATTCAAACTCTAGAGCACTATCTGCAGACCGGAGCGGGCTTGAAATTGGCGTAAAGTTTCCCTTGTTTTGCCGGATATCGATATTCATTTGGGAAATCCAAAATGGAAATAGCTGCACTTGTTTCTCATAAAGGACAGCAATTCCATGCACAAACTTTGAAAATTTTGGGACTTCCTCCATTAACTGGGACGAGATCAAGTCGGTAATCCATTTTGGCGGATCAGCACCGGTCTCTGTTTGCAGCTTGACTTCCAAAATGGCATAAGGAAATTTTACAATTTCCGACTCTGGAATCTCAGCGTATGGGTACTCTAGCGAGCTGATATCTTCTCTTTTCCAAGAATCTTCAGAGGCGGGATTCTCTTTAATCATCACCAGTTCTGTATCGAGGGAGATGCGAACTGAAGCATCTCCCGGGTATTGAAATGCCATTCGATTGTATCTTGTACGAACATATGGGCGGAGACGCCTTTTGGATATCGTTTCCTGCACTTCGGAAGAAAGCTTTGAGAGCTCGTCAATGGCAGCATCATCCTGCTGCTTCAATAACCGCTTTTTCATTAGCGCCTTTTCGAGCGTATATTGTCCTGTCAGATAATCTTTGACATGTTTTTCCTTCAATTGGAATCGGCTTTTAAACGAAATTTCACCGGTCCAGTCTTCCTTGTGGATTTTCCGCTCCACAAATACAAGTTCAGGATCATGGGACTTGCCATACCATCGAATTCGGATTGCCTCCGCACCTTCTGATTTTTCTAGCCTTCCAAGATATAGTTCAAGTGCGTCATTATCCAAGTAGACAGATGAAATTGAAAAGTCGAGCGTTTGAGAGTAGGCTGAGGTCATCTGCTGCTTACTCGCACTATTGTATACGATGACGGGAAGATGTTTAAGGATTGCCAGCTTGACATCGGTGACATTGTCTGGATGGACCCAATATTTGGCCGTTTTTCTGATGAACGTCTCCGAGTTGGTGGAACCATTTGCAGATTGGCGATCTACAGATGCCTCTTGTGAGGAGGGGGAAGATAATCTATTATATAGATTGGAAAGTCTGAGCAAAAGAATATCCATGTTATGAATGTAGAGCGGGTTATTGCGAAAATGCAACAGAAACATCGGCTTCAGTTTGTAGTCGGTATGTTTGTCGTGTTTCTTTAAAATCTTCAAGATCCCCGTAAAGTTGAGACGTGTGTATCGACCAAGGGTACCTAGTTCAAAGCCAATGTTGCCGAGCTCCTGTTTAAAGTGTGCAACGGCATTTTCATTAAGCTTCGGAAGCGAGACTCGGCCAAACACATCTTCATAGTGTTGGATTTTTCGCTGCAACTCGTCAACTTTCATACTTCGAAAATTTTCAATCTATCGGGTAGGGGAATGGCAACGATACCTTTGAAACTTCCTTTTCCAAACGCTCCACAAACAACGCCTCGTCTTCTTCAGAAAAATTTTCGTCGCTCCGTTCTTTCAGCATTTCTTTGAGCTTGTCATATTCCAAGTAGTAAAATCTCCAATCCGAATAGACTTTGTTTGCAAGCTGCTTTCCAAATTTCATAATCCAAAAATATTCGACCCGAATATTGATGATCAATACGCCATAAGGTTTGAAACCTGCCGACCAATGAAAAAATAGGGTTAGCTTGAGATTCCCCTTGAAACTAGGATTGGCTATCTGAATGATCTGGCGTTTCAGGCCTTAAATTTGAATTTAATAAACTTTTACTGGAAATCACTGCCAACCGCCGCATGTTTGATCTTTTCCATTATCTTAAAATATGAGCCATCATACAGGGACACGATTGCCGATCGATCAAGAGCATATCCGGACAAAATCCACAGAAGTATCCATTCGAACTTTGAGGCAAACCTAACACAAACTATACGGTGCTTTTTGGACATACCATCCGAATGGATCCAGAAGATCCCTAAATGAGTTTGTCATGTTCCAGATGTCTTCAAAAGAAAATATTTTGATCGGCGATTTTGCCGTGCTTTCGCTAGATCCAAAGAGCAAATCCAGCCGTTCGGAACTGACATTTCCTAGGATTAGGGGCGGATTTGGCCCTACCCCTGTGGTTGTACACCTCCGAGTCAGACCCGTGCTTGCATCTATGTATATTCTTAATGTAGATTGGGAACGTCGGATCTGGAATCCACGAATCCTGTGTTGGATACGACATGAAGCTGTGAATAACAATGGTGCCAAGAACGGAAACGATAACTCCAAACCTAATGGCACGTAGCCCCTCGTATGTCTCCATCAGGGTTATAACACCGTCGCCATTTCTACAAATCATCAGTAATTTTATCGAGACTACCTATCAAAGAAGGCAACATGGTTTTGCAGATTGGTCTCCCACATCTTTATGGACTCTGTAGGCTTTTCATATGTCTCAATGTGGCTGCCAGAGTTAGCGGCCGTCATTTGAGAAAGGCTTGGCCCCTTTGAAGAAACGAATTCACCGCTGGTAATCTTCATTGCTTTCGATGTGAACTTGAGTCCGCTCAATTTATAGGGAAGGGTTGGCTAATTGACAACCTGCCATTGATCAATTAGTGTCATCTTTTAGTCTATTAAATTTCCATAAACAGAAAATTTTATTTCAATATCCGTTTGGCATTTTGCTGATGTGGGGGTTGGTTTGGGTTGGTTTGGTAATATGCTTCGCCCAAATTACATGTGTCAATCACGGGTGTGGTAGCTCATCCGGCTAGTCTTGATCAAGTTAAGTTTTGGGGTTTGAAATCATTTTAGGCCTGCAATTTAAGGTTTTAAATAGAATCCTCTTTTGTTGATCCGCTTTAGCCTTAACAGATTCTTTGATAGAATTCAAAAATAGCGGATTTGGGCGCAAATAAGCTCCGACGCCCTCAGGGGTCCATACTCTAAGGAAGATGCCATCGTCGTTACCAGATACGGCATGGGAAATTGCAATCCAACCAATCCCTGATAATGCAATTTCAATACCGGGGATTCTGATGGGTCCTTTAGGAATTTCCACTCCATCCAGGGCAACCTTTAGTTCAGGAATCTCCACATTCTTCAACTGCTTTTGGGTCAAGGGCGAAGTTTGCTCTTTTTTCAGCCTTTGATACTCCTTTTCGGCTTCCGCAAAAGTCCTATTAATATGAATGGGGAGCTTTCTCGTTGCAAAAATGACGAAATTAGTAAAGTGTTTGTGTCCATCTTGCTCCTTCTCAGCATGTGTATTTGAACAAAGATCAATCCTAACAAGGGGACCAATCCACATTGATTGGCCTTTTAAAACCAAATATCTATTTGCTTTAAATGGAGAACTGCTAGAAAAGAGCTTTTCCAAACTTGAAAGGGTAAGGAATCTTGGGATCCATCCAAAAGGAAATACTCCCGGTGTATCGATTAGCACACTTTTTTTTGAATTCTTCGCGAATGATCCGCTTTCTTGGGCAACTGTCTTTGTGAAATCATGAGCATAGTGCAAAGAAGCAGAAAAGAAGCCAACCGTCGTCCCTGGAGAAAGCGTTGAAATGCTAATTTTTGGTTCTGCCGTGTCACACTTATTTTCAAAGAATCGCTTTGTATTGATGATTTTGGTCCATAGCTTTGATTTTCCGGAATTAGTGGGCCCTACAAGATAAATACTAGCCTTTGCAGAAGGAGGCTTTCCTCGCATCAGAATGGATGCGGCTTTTGTAAGGGAGGCAATCATATTGTGACAATTAAACCCCGATTTTGCGCTGACAGGAACCACGTCAAACACGGGTCTCTTAATTAATTCAGTGGCGGCCCACTCCTTTACATGGTTTCGAAATTTAGCCAATTCTTTTTCATCGCCCGTGATGGACAAAGGAAGCAAATCGATCTTTGTCAGAGCAATGATTACTTGAATATCTTCCATCGATTGCAAGTGGGAAATTAATTTTCCAGGCTGATGACTCTGGTCGTGGAAAGTTGCCCATGAAGTAGGGAAATCTGTAGAATCTACCAACAAGCAAAAAATGGCTCTTTTTGCGTTATAAGTTGCCAGGAATTTTTCCCACCACAAATTGGGGTTGACTATTGAAACATTCTTCGTTAAAGGAGTAATAACGGAGATGGAACTTCTTTCGTTTGAACCTGGGGATTCTTTTTTATTCAAAAGGTTATGGCATTTTTGGCAAATAGGAATTGCAGGCTTTTTTCTTTTGACGCTACCTTCACCTAGAGGCTGCTCAGGGAGCATCGAAGTGATAGGGCGATCATCAACACACGTTGTATTCAGACGATTTTCTATTCGTTCCATATCAAGCCGAGATAACTGCCTCCCTTTAAGGGCATTATTTCTTGGAGAAGAACGTCGCGCATGCTCCAGTTCTTGTAATATTTTGTCTCTCCTACTTGACAGATTAGGCAGATATCCAGGGCTACCAGGGAGTCCATTCTCGTGAAATTGCGCGCCGCATCCAGAGCACTCCTCTAGAAATTTTGTCAAGAGCGATGAAATAGACGAAAAAAACATGTGAGAAGAAAATCGATGCCAACATCCCGGGGGCCATGCATGGAGGGCTTTGGGAGAATTCATCAAAATTTAATTTTAAAGTTTTTAATTATCGAAATAAAGCAATTTGGTGAGGTTCCACATTGTCACTTTCACTTTACGTCTGTTTGATAACGGACATCAAATCAACGTGTCTTGAAGACAAATCGAGGTTCCTAAAGTAAATTTGGAAAATCAAACCCGAGGAATCCAGAATACTTTTTGCTCATAAAAATACAAAAATTGACAAGCACGTAAAAGACGTGATTGTGTCCCTATAAAAAGTGAGGTCAAATCTCTTACATCAATTGACAAGTAGTGGGTGTCATCCAGCAGGGATACAAGCAGGAAATTGGAGCTAGAAGGGCTTGAGCGCACGATTTGAAGAGGAAATTGCCGAATCATAGACTGGTAGGACTCAAGCGGTCGCTTATAGCCCCCGAAAGAGCTGTATTCACTCCCACTAGAAGAGGACAGGCCCATTCCATATCCAAACAAATCAAGCGCATATTTAGAGAAGGTGGAAATGGACTCATCGAAATAGGGTGACATCAAAAGGTCCATCTTGATGGCGAAGATCCCAAGTAATAGCTAAGAAAAGAGCAAAAGTAAATACCATACCTCAACGTCGGAAAAACAAGAATCCTTTATATCGGCGTCCACAATAAACGGGGATGTTGAATCCATGGCCCCAATGGGGCCCCTGAAAGCGGAAAGATTATCCAGCATGGAAAGGTCTAAGAAGGGTTAAAAGCACACACAACCTTTGATTCGATGATAAATGAAAGAGCGAATATGGTCATTGTTTTTGAGCTCCAAATGCGAGTGCGAAGAGGATGAAGAAAAAAGTAAATGCGGGGAAAGAAACAGCTCCAACTGAAGTCTTCTGAGCCACAATTCCGCCTAAAAATTTGGTTGGAGATCCACATCAAACCTTTCCGGCGGACAAAAAGATAGCATAGTCATTTGCAAGAACGGTGCAAGAAACCTGTTTTAGAGACAAATCGGCAACACTTGGCCAGTGCACTAGGCCATGAAAATGAACACCAAGTACGATGAAAGATTTTACTTAGGCAGCCATACTGAGGCAATGTGGCTTCTTTTAACAGAGTGTCAACTTTGATCATTTCCGAATACAAAGGGCGCAGCAGCTTTGATACCAGCCACTAACATTCATTTGATATACAGAATGCATTACCTGTTTTAGATTTTTTATGGAGACTGCGTAAAACTTATCATCAATGTCAAACTGATGGGCAAACGACAGAAGACGCGGCTTGGTAATCGAAGACTTTACAGTGGACTCATTCATTTCCTCCCTCCCAGGGAGAAGAGTAACTCCGGTGCAGTATGGGCGCGTCTGTGGCAGAACAAGAGGTAGCTTTAATCTTTGCTCTATTTTCTCATCAAAAGGAAGATCTGATAGATGATGGTCTTTAATTGGAACTCTGTCAGATATACCGAACGAATCTGCGATTGGAGTCCGAATGGGAACACGGTCAACAAGCAATTTGGACAAATCTGATTTCGCTTTTACAGGCAAGGGCTGCCTTGAGATTGTTTTAACAGGGTATTGGAAAATCAGTGTGATAAGGTTGAAAAAAAGCAGAACCAAAATGATCCTATATGCCTTATCAAAAATACTATCTGCATAAACCCCCAATCCTTCGGAGACAGGAAAGCCTTGAAACAATGGGATATGTTGCAGAAAATAATACCATATAAAAGAAAAAAGATTCTTTCCGCTTATAAACAATAAGAGTATTATTGTGAATGAAACCACGTTTAGGAAGATCAGAGAAGACTTGGCTTCCATTAACAAATTTAATTTACAATTGGAAGGGCACACTAATTTACAATTGGAGGGGCACACTAATTTACAATTGGAGGGGCACACTAATTTACAATTGGAAGGGTACAATTAAAAGTCATCCCTTCATTAAAGAAACTTGGTTGTATTAACACACACTAACCCTAAATTGATCTGCTAAATTTGGGGTTACAAGCTTATCGATGAGGAGCACAGAAATTATGACCGATTCTTGCGGTTCCGAGCAAATTTTAGCGCGAAATAGCTATTTTAAGCGACCTTCTAAAGTAGCAATAAATCTAGCGATGCGAATATTTGGCTATCAATAGGGCTGATTGTTGATAAGCCTAAAAAGTTGTGCTCAAAGAAGCCAAAATCACATCAAGGCGCTTGAAGTTTGCGTTTCAAGGCAGTTAAAGGAGTAGGGTGAGGGGCATGGGCATTGAAATTTGCAAAAATCATACCAAACAAACATGCGCAAAAAAATATAAAAAGAGGCCATGTTCCGAGGGACACAATCTACAAAACAGCCGCGTACTTTGAGATCCAAAAACGACATGCAAACTTTCCACTAACCGTGTATGTTACGACCGGCCCACAACTGATCATGTTTCACTTCCTTTACTTATATGGTACAGATTGTCGTGCTACACAAGCTCAGCGTCCTCCAGAAACCGGTACTCGAAGGTGAACTCGGACTTTTTCCGCTGTGACCACGAGGCTTCATAGTCAAAGTAAATGTATGTACCCTGTTCAAAGTCCTCTGTTACGATTTTGGGCTCTTCATGCCGCTGGAACCAAGTAAGGTATTTCTTGTGATATCTCCACGACTGTTTTTTGAGCTCCCTTGCAGCGAGATACTGCGCGTAGGTGTTTGGCAAAAAATAAAAGACGGCAAACAGGCACTCGACATCCATCCGCTCAAAGAGTGAACTACGCCATACTGTCGCGTGTGGAGAAAGCCGTGGAAAGTTGAACCGCTCCCATGGCGCTGCTGAGTGTGTGTTTGGATCGATTGCGGACATTTCAGGCCTGAAAAAGGCATCCTCCATATTGGCAACGAGCTGTTCCAGCCCCTGTACCTTTGGAAACCCCTGCTCCACAGCTTGTAGATGTTCATTGCTGACCAAATCGAGATGGGAGTTAAGACAGCTACTTGCAGAGAACATGAACCACGGCACTGCAGAGATCGGGGGTTCCCGTTCCTCGCTGACGCCGGTACCGGCTGTTCTCTTCGCAGAGGACGGATTCTCTGGCGAGATAATTGACTTTGGTACATTCGACCACACCTTGATCGGTGTCGAAGATACAGGAATGTTTCCCGTTGATGTGATGGGTGGAATAGAGACATTGGAAGCGACTTCAGCGACTAGCCAATAAAAACATCAAACAAACCTTTAGAAGAGACGAACGTTGACTTTCTATGATGATGCTGATGCTGATGATGATGATTGTGTCCACTTTGCGGAGGGGCCAGAGGAGGTGAAGCCGAAAGAAGCTTGGGATGTGGAAGCTCTGATTCCCCCAGCACGTCATGGGGCCTCTCATCTTCGTCATCAGAATTGGCTGCGCTAAGGGTGGACATGCTCGGCTTGAGCAATACCTCTGCCTCCAATGCCGAAAAGTCAAAATCGCTGTAGATGGAATCGTCCTCGAGATAATCCGGATTCTACCGCCATTGAAAACTATTTCCTACCTCTCCATTCTCAAGATAATCGTCCATAAAGTCGCGCAGGGAGCCGACCTCCTCTGAGAGAATGTGTTCATTCTCGATCATTCGCAACACAAGTTCCAGCTTCAAGATGTGGTGATTGTGTCGCGCTACATGCGCCTCTAGCTCACGCTGGCGCGGCGACTTCCCCGCCATCTTTGCGGAGGCTGCCCGGCGACTGCCAGCCCCTAGGGCCGTGTTGCAGATGGCCTCCAGCTCTGCTTCGTTTGAGTCTATCAACGTTTTGAGATGGTCCATGGACGTGGAAATCCATGCCACTACTTCTGCCTTTTCCTTTTCTTTGGGATCGACTTTTGAGATGGCCGAGAGCCCTTCCTTGGAGTATGCTTTAATTTTGATTTCCTTTTCAAGCACCTTAAACCGCTCCATGAGCACCTCTATCCTCCGCCGTGTCTCGTTTAGGGGTTCCTTGTTTTTTATCTCGTTCGACGTCTGCCACACCTTGATTTGGTCGCGGAGACGCTGGAGGCGTTTGACCTCCTTCTTCATTTCTCCTTCCCAACGCTCCTTCTGGGCGGCAGTGGTGGACGCATTTAGCTTTGCGAGGTATTCTTCGAATTGTTCAATGCCCTCATCGACCTTTTTGATGGTGCGCTCGATCTCAGCTACAATCGTTAGCATGATCATTCCTACTCTGCAACTTGCGGTTGCTCATAAAATAAAATTAGAAATAAATAAATAAATTGGAACAATTTTAATTCTCGCCATTGATATTTTCCACTTTATTTTTGGATGTTTGATCCGATTCGCGAGTTTAGGGCGATCATGCCACACTTGACCCCGGTCACGGGGTCCGGATGCTGCGGATCTACAGGCTATATTTGTTCGCGGTGCTTGCTCAGATCGTAAGCATGGCGCGAGATAAATGGTCGAGGCCCGAGGATGCGCTCCAAATCCTCTCTATGAAGAGATTCCCGCAAAAGCAGCTCTTGCGCCAGTGCTTCCAGAGCTTTTTGACGGCTAGAGATCAGCTCCAGGGCACGTTGATAGCATTCGTCTATCATAATCTTGACTCTGGCGTCGATAAGCCGAGCGGTCTCGTCAGAGTATGGCGGTGGGGCCCCAAATCTTCTCTCTGTGTTTGGAAATGAGAGGAGCCCAATGCGATCATCCATGCCCAGTACGCTTACGGCATCATATGCCATTTCGGTCACCTGAAAAGTTAAAACCCGAAATATTGGCTACGCGAGAACAACAAAAGTAAAGCGGAAATCAAAAGACACCATCATCGAACAGGGGAAGCAGTAAAAATAAGAAAGCATAAAATAAGCACGAAAACAAACCTTTTGAAGATCATTTTGTGCTCCAGAGGTGATCGATGCACGTCCAAGGATCACCTCTTCCGCTATGCGGCCTCCAAGAGCCACGCAGATGCGATCCATCAGCTGGGCTTTGCTGAGGAGCAGCCCGTCAGAAGGCAATGTGCGGGCAAAGCCAAGAGCACCAGAAGACCGAGGAATAATGGTTACCTTCATCACCGGATCCGCATGTTCTAAGAACCAGGCAACAAGTGCATGTCCAGACTCATGATGGGCCACAATCGACCTCTCCTCTGTGGCAAGCACACGCGATCGACGCTCGCTTCCAGCAATGACGCGTTCCACGGCCGCCTCAAAATGTTCTCCTTTCACATATGTTTGGGAGAGCCTGGCCGCAAGTAGAGCTGCTTCGTTGCAAACATTTGCAATATCGGCACCAACAAATCCAGGTGTCATGTATGCTAAACGAGCAGATATTTCTCCTTTCTCCAATTTTGGATCAAGCTTGAGCGGCTCCAGATGTAGAAGATAAATTTGTTTCCGTCCATTGGCGTCGGGCCGCTCAATCGAAATATGGCGATCAAATCGTCCAGGGCGCAACAGTGCCGGGTCAAGTACATCTGGTCGATTGGTGCCAGCTATTATCACCACGGGTGCTTCTTGAGATGATGAAAAGCCATCCATTTCCACAAGCAGCTGATTTAGCGTCGATTCCCGCTCATCATTTCCCCCGCCTCCAATGGGCGAGGAGCGGCCCCTAGCCCTTCCAATTGCATCGATCTCATCAATAAACACAATACAAGGTGCTATTTTTCGCGCTTCTTCAAATAGATCACGGACACGAGAAGCACCGACACCAACAAACATTTCCACAAATTCGGCCCCCGAAATGGAAAGAAATGGAACCTCGGCCTCCCCGGCCATCGCCTTGGCGAGAAGGGTCTTTCCGGTTCCAGGGGGTCCACTCAATATGGCGCCTTTTGGGATGCGTGCTCCAAGCTCTGCATATACTTGTGGCTCTCGAAGAAATTTTACAAACTCCGAAATTTCGAGTTTGGTTTCATCCATTCCAGCCACATCTTTAAAGCGAACTTTTTGGGCAGTTTGCGCATTATAAAGCTTTGCCTTTGATTTTCCGGCATTGAAAACCCTGGCCAAAGGGTTTCCGGAACCAGATCCGGAACCAAGCCCACCCTTTTGCGATAATGAGTACCCCTTCCACATGACATATCCTATAAACGCCAGCGGAAGGACAGATATCAGAATTTCAAAAAAGATCAGGCCATTGGTTAATAGCGATGAAGGACCGAGATTCTGCCGACCAGACTCATTGGGCCATGTTTGATTTACTTCCCAAACAACGGGAACCATCGAGATTGAACGCGATTGAAACGCCTCTGAAAGGCGCTTTTCAAAATTTTCCATAGATCCGATGGTAAACATGAGAGATGGGAACAATTTTTTTCTATATGTGTGAATCTCTTCGTTTGCTGTCTGACGTGCTTGCTCATCCATCGATGCGTCCTTTTCTTCATCTTTAAGAAAAACATAGACGCGTGTTTTATCTGAAGCCACTAGTAGCTTTGACACGAGGCCTTCTTTCAAATAGGAGGATAGAAGAAATTCTTCAAAAGAAATTTCTTGAATTGGAGGGCGATCTAATGCCAGCGAAGAAGAAAGATCAAAGAGCTTACTAGAGAAATAGTACAACGAAGTAGCAAGGACTAAAAATGCAATTTCCGGGCGTTTCCAAAACGGATTATCCTTTGCATTGCTTGCCTTCTCTCCTTTTGCATTGTTTTTTCCAGCCTGTTTTTGTTGCTGTTTGCCATTGTCATTTTCGCCTTGCTTGCGATCCGCATCATGATCCCGCGGAGTAAAATTGATTCCATTACGTGCTTGATTTTCATTTAGTTCGAGCTTCACGGTATTTTTGTCAAAAGACAAAAAGATGTTCTCATCAGGAGCAAGGAAAACCACTTTGGGAGGTGCGTTTTCCTGAAAACTAGGTTCTTGAATAAGAATGCGCGCATCTTTACACTTTAAACGCTGGAAAAACGGAATGAAATCATCGGGAGATTTTCTCAGGAAAAGGGCGGCCAGGATTGGAAAATCCTTCCATGAAGGACCTTCATTCCAAAGCGAATCCTTGAGCCCGAGGGCTAGAGAATATCGAGTCAAATCAAAAGGCTCGTTTGGATGTTTGTCCAGAATGGCTCCGGGATGATCATTCAGGAAACTAAGTTCTACTTTTGAGATTGAATTCAGGGATGGATGGCGTTTTATGGCGAACTTTCTTACAGCGAAAACGGAAAAGATCCTGTATTCGATTCGAGAAACTTTTGTCTTGACAAGAAGTTCCTGCATGCGAGTCTTTAAAATAAGGGAGTTGTATTTTTCAAGAAAGGATTCCCGGATCTCCTTCTCCACTTCAAGGGTTATTTTGCCAAGTGCGTCCCGCGGCAACTTGGAAATGTCAATAATATAGGTGGATGTGTCGATCTCATTTTGCGATTCATGCCGAGTGGAAAAAAGACGGTTGATTTGCAATAAATAAGCAGTGCATCGCAGTTTATGGACATGTTTTGTTGGCTGATATCTGCACAACAACGGCCAATAATTGGCACGTCCACTGGGGAACATCAGGAGATTTTATTGAATTTGAAAACTGCAATTTAATTTACATTAAACTTGCTCTGCAGGAGATGCAAATTTCTGGATAATTGGATATTTATTTGGGTCATTTTGGTTAAATAATAAACACAAATTATTCCCAGTGAGAAGCAGAAGGAGACGCATTATCCTCAAACGTACCAATGTGGATGTAGAGCCAACCCTAACTCTAAGCAGTACTACGGAAGGAGTAGGTATCGGAATAGCATGGTAAAATAAATAATACAAATCTTCAAACTTTCAAAATTAATAGATATAGCGGAGGAGGGAGATATGTAAAATGGTACTTATGAACCAGCCAATGACGAAGGTTGCAACACATGGGCTCTTTTCAGTCGTCCCAAAAGTCAAATGAAATAAAAGTAAGCTCAAAATCTCCATTCAAAGTTTCTGTATTCTTATCCTCATCACTGCTCGAATCAATGTCATCTTCGCCAGCATGCTTGGGGGAAACTTCGGTGAGCCTTGAAGAGGCAATTGAACGGGAATCGGTATTATCGCCCGTCAGAACATCCCCTCTAGACACGCGTGGACAAAAGAAATCCGATATGGATGGAGAAAAAATTTCAGACTCAATCGATCTATTGGCCTTATTTTCTCTCCATAAAGCCAAAAATTTTGGATAAAATATAGCTGCAAGAGTAACCGCCATCATGACAAGTAGGCTGATATTAACTTCGTAATACTTGGCACTGATTGGGTCAGTCAATGCCCCCGATATGATGTACAGGGGTGTTGCGATCACCAAAACCAAAACATATGTGTACACAGTAATTGCAATATGAAAAGACTCGTTAAATTGGGAATCGACCTTTCTTACTAAGAAGGCAAGAACAGCCAACAAAAGAACAAGAAAAAGAATAAACACCAGGAAAATCAACAAAAAGATATTTGCCACGTTGGAGAGCTCCACGTTGGCCTGAGAACATATCACAAATGAGAAATATGGAGACCGGGGCGACGAAACAACTTTGGGCTCAAATGCCAGCTTTGTAAATGTAAATAAGCACAGAACTATCACATTGATTAGCAAAAGAGATCCAGTAAAGATAAACAGATGGCTATTTTTAGTGACCAAGGTCGATGGACGATGCACAGAAAAGATCTTGAAAATGCGATATGTCTTTGCAAGCATATTGGCAATCACAAGACTAAAGCCAATAACGAGCGACCAAAGCTTAAAGCTACAAACCAGATAAGATGGCCGAACGCTGTTGAGAATTACCGAGATATTGCACAAAACAACGCCAACCAGAATAAATTCGCAGAAAATGGGCGACGCCACTTTGATGGGCTTTCTTTCTCGAAATTTCCACACAATCACAATCAAGGCGAATGAAAGTAATACCAGAAAGACCGCGCAAGCACAAAGCAATATGCCCCCAGCAGAGTCAAAAGAATTTTCGAGCGGAACTACTCGAGAAATTGGGATTTTATTGACCAGGTAAAAATAAGTTTTCGAAAAATCAATATTAACGGCGCCGTTTTGGTAATCGCCGATGATTGTTGTTGCATTTTTACTAATGGCTTGAAGGAAAGAATATTTTGAGTCTATTGGGTTGGCTTCTTTAAACCCTACAGGCCCATAAACCCCCTCAACTATCTCCCTTTTCATCTCATCGATAATATCTTTTCCACTAATTTCGCTGCATGAAGTCAAGGGCTTTTGACATTTTTCAATTAATCTGTTTAAGGCTCCTGCGACCGACTTGACTGCATTGACCACAAAGAGGGAGTATGACTAGACAATAAAATTACAATAAATTACCGTAATCACCGTAGGACTCAGAATCTCTTCCCCAGTACACCTGCAATTGAAAGGAAATTTCCGATGTGCGACATCTAGATCGCAAACCGGAATTTTTTTTGCAAAATCTGGAATCGGTTCATCAGGATTAAAATAGAAACATTTGAATGTATCTTCCCACATTCTTGTATATTGGCGGTAATTTTCACTCTCTCTGCCTATTGCAATATAAGATCTAAGGGCTTCATAGGGCGTAATATATGGACTGATGCTTATCGAACCTAGAGTGGAAATATGGAAATCGAACGTACCTAAAATATATTTGTAAGGAAAAAAATCTATCGAAATTCTAGAGGGTTGATAAAGTATTTCAGAGGAAGCCTCRGAGAAGATAAAAGTGATGCCCTTGATTTTTTCTTTGTAGAAGATTTTAATAACCGCCATTGCCAGAAGCGGATTCATGTAGAGTAACACGACGCTTAAATTTGGGATGGATTTAATACAAGAAATGAGATTCAATATTGAGCGCTCATTCACATTTCGGGCTCTACTCAGCATCCCTGTTTTTATCATCGTAATGCACGGGAAGCGAATTTCATGTGAACCGGCAAGGTTATCAATTGCATGCCTCCCGGAGAGGCCATAAATGTCGGTGCTGAAAACCGGAGTAACAAGAGTCCAATTAAAGACACCAAGAAGGGAGACAAGAGCACGGATCTCCTCGCGAGCGGGAGGGATTGTTCTCAAAAAATTGACCGAATATTCGGGCAATTCAAAAGTTGCAGAGTAGGTTACGATGCCCACATCATATTGGTTTAAAAAAAAGCCGAGAGTAAGAGCCTGGAATGAAGTTGGGGGTCCTGGAGATTAGAAAACAAACCTACCGATTATCATCGTTATATTGTTTTCCAGAATTTCTATGGCAGAAGTGAAGCAATTCCTGGTAGAAAATCCGACATCTCTAATCTGGTAAACCACCGTCACATTTGGAAGAACAGAATCATCAGAGTTGACCATTTCCACGGCATATTTAAAGGCCAATGCTTCTTGCAAAGCAGGAGACGCGGTCATTGAAAAATCATCTGAAGAAAGTGGGAAAAACCCGGCTAAATTAAAAAATGGGTTCCCAACCCGATATAAGGGAATTTTTATATTCGGAAGTATATTTGTGGTGGTGAGGTTCATATAAGCATGGCAGAGAAGAGACGCATGCGCCCCAAAAAGGAAAAAAATGCAATATAAATAGAAACCCATCGGCGTATTTCAAAATCGTCCTTGGAAAAAGGATGAAAGTAATATTATGTTCTGATAAATTTTTATCAGCTGACGGGGGTGATCCAATCAACAGATAATCTTAATCATGATATGAAAAATTAAAACACGGGTACCCTCGGGACTCATTGCTGAGTCAGAAGCATCAGCCAACACGTTGCTCTCGGCAATCTTTCATTTTTTGTCATGTTGCCGCATGACGTGCAGCATGAGGATGAATAACAGGCTGCTAGGGTTACATGACAGTTCGATAGGCTCTGTACATTAAATTAAATTTCAACGGGGTTTCAGTGTAAACGGTTAGGGTTACATTAAAAACGGGGGGCACCGATGAGTAAAATGAATCATCAATTGCAGCCAATTTTTTAATGCTATCTACATCCCAAATATTCATTTGCTCTAAAACTGGATCGGACGTTGCCACATCAGAGTCCGGCTCTTTGGAACACCCTTGGGCTACCTTGAATTCTGCATTCTCTTCAAACAAGCAGGAGAATGTTCTCTTTATGATCCGCGATGACTCGGCTGAACCTTACGCACCGGTCTCAAAGTCTGCTTTAAAGAAGGCAAAGCAGTTCAATGAGATTACCGAGAAAAAAATGTCCAAGCTTTCCATAAGCACTCCGAAGGCCTCTGTTCCTACAACCACTTCTGAGGATCTCCCGCTTGTACAAGATCCTTCTCTCCCAGAGCCGGCCCATATTAAGATAAGGGATGCCGTGCCTGCAAGAGAACAGAAAAAAAGAGTCAAGATCGATGGATGGGTTCACCGCTTAAGACGCCAAGGAAAGTCTATCATGTTCGTAGTGCTGAGAGACGGAACAGGCTATCTCCAGTGCTTTTTCGACTCAAAAATGGTACTTTTGCAATTTTGACAAGAAATTTAGGTCAGCAATGCGCATGCAAAAGGGCTTTCCGTCGAGTCTACAATTTCGGTATATGGAACATTGGTCGCCGTTCCTGAAGGCCAAGTAGCACCGGATGGTCATGAGTTACAGGTCGATTTTTGGGAGGTTATTCGGATGGCTCCTGCTGGCGAAGATTCTTTCGAATGTTGCCTTAATCAGGAGGCATCTGTGGATGTTCTTTTGAATCAAAGACATCTTGTGCATCGAGGAGAAACCGCTACAAAGATCCTCAAGTTAAGGTCTTGGCTTCTGGGCGCCTTCAGGGGACACTTTGAAAAGTCGGGCTATTTTGAGATCACACCGCCTTGTATTCTGCAGACGCAAGTTGAAGGTGGCTCTACTCTCTTTTCTTTCGATTACTTTGGAGAAAAGGCCTACCTTACTCAATCGTCGCAGCTTTATTTGGAGACTGTTTGTCCTTCTCTGGGAGACGTATACTGCATCCAAGAGTCTTTCCGTGCCGAAAAGTCCAAAACCCGCAGGCACCTTTCTGAATTCACTCACATTGAGGCCGAGTTTAGCTTTATCAAGTTTGATGATCTTTTGTGCCGTATTGAAGAAATGGTGTGCGATGTTGTTGCCCGCATGCTGAAGCATCCGATTGCAGCAGCATATTTGAAAGATTTGCATCCGGAATTTGTTGCCCCAAAGCGCCCGTTCAAACGCATGGATTATTCAGAAGCAATTGCCTGGCTCCAGGCTCACAGCGTGATGAAAGAAGAGGATGGCATGCCTTTTCAGTTTGGAGACGACATTCCTGAAAAGCCGGAGCGATTCATGACCGACACCATTGGGGAGCCGATTTTCTTGTGCAGGTTTCCCGTTGAAATCAAGTCGTTTTACATGATGAAAGATGCTTCCGATCCTCGCGTGACCGAGTCTTGTGATCTGCTTATGCCAAATGTTGGAGAGATTGTCGGTGGATCTATGCGTATCTTTGATGAAGAGGAGCTCATGGCAGGCTTCAAAAGAGAAGGCCTGGACCCGGCCCCTTATTATTGGTTTATCGACCTCAGAAAGTATGGATCGTTTCCGCACGGTGGATTCGGGCTCGGCTTTGAGAGATTCATGGCTTGGCTTCTTAAAAGAGACCACGTGCGTGACGTATGCCTGTACCCGAGATACATAGGCCGCTGCCTCCCCTAATCAATAAATCACCGACCTGACAGCATTCGATACTGTGCGCTATGGCAATGATTGCCTTTTTTAATATTTTGGCCGTATGCAGACGTTTGTTCGCTGCTAATCATAGCAAAAGGGCACGTGGCTCCAAATACACGCACCATTGGACGCATTTTGGCGATTGCAACCGTTACACATTTATTAGGAGCCGGAATTATTTGCGAATCCGAATTGGAGCGGTATATGGGATAAATTCGGCACCTCCAAGATATGGGCGAAGCGCTTCAGGCACGGCCAGCCCTTCTGGAGTCTGATAGTTCTCCATTATGCAGCAAAGAGTTCGCTCTGTTGCCGTCAAGGTCGAATTGAGGAGATGCACGTACACTTTTTCTCGGTCACCAAGCTTTTTGATTCCACATCGGATCTCAAGAGAGCGGCTTTGGTAATCGGTACAGTTCGAGCAGGAAACAAGCTCCTTGTACTCGCCAAAATAGGGAAACCACGCTTCAAGGTCGTACTTCTTTGCAGCAGCATTGTTCAGCGCCCCAGAAACAATGCTCACAATGCGGTAGGGAAGGTTGAGGGATTGGTAAAAGGCTTCAGAGGTGCCGATCATCTCCTCAAACATGGCCCACGAGTGCTGGGGCTCCGTTAGCACAAATTGCTCGATCTTTTCAAATTGGTGAATGCGAAAGATGCCCCATGTATCTTTTCCGTGGGCGCCGGCTTCTTTCCTAAAGCAAGAAGAAAGGCCACCATATCGAAGCGGAAGGGTTTCCGAAGGCTTTTCAAACCATTCGTTGGCATGGAAACCAGATATGGGCTGCTCTGAGGTAGCAATCAAATACTTGTCTTCGCCCGATTCGTCCACTATCTATTGAGGGTTAGTGTGCTTTCAACAAACACGCACCTTGAAAAGCTGGTCGTCAAAATCGCTCAATTGGGCCGTACGCATCATCATGTCTCTTTTCATCATAAAAGGGGTTTRCAAAAGAGTGTAGTTTCGCTTTGAAAGGAAATCCAATCCGTATTGAATAAGCGCCAAATTGAGACGAACACCCCAATTTTTTAGGAAATAGCCACGATGCCCGGCAACTTTTGCGCCTCTCTCTGGGTCAAACCCATCAATGCGAGTCAGGACTTGGTCGTGTGACATGATGTTTTCTTTCTTGCAAGGAGCCTTTGCATCTGAGCCATGGCCATGCCACGATCTCACGATGCCATTGTTTGCCTAGTAATGGAGCTCCAACAAAAGGCTGCATACCTCGTCATTAGAAACAGGGACACTTTCATGCACAATATTTCCGATCGAATCCAACAGCTTCTCCAAATGGGCCATCTTGGCATCCATATTTGACTCGATGCACTTTCGCTCCTCTTCAAGCGCAGATTTTTCCGTCAAATGGCCCTCTGCTGCGGCGCGGTCATTTGTTTTTATGAGGTCGGAAATTTGTTTTTGGACGACCTTGATTTTTCTGTTTAGCTCATCCACTTCAAACCTCACTAAATGCAGATTAAAAACGCCACTCAGAATTACATTTGACCCATTCCTTATCGATTGTAACTATCTCATCGACAACTTCAACAGAGGCGTTGCGCTTGCGTTGCGACACTCGTATAAGCTCGGGATTTCCTCCTCTTTCAACACGGAATAAATTAATGTCAATCATGCTGGTAAATGGCCTGACGAATCTTTTTATCAGTCTCGGAAAAATTAGTGATGCGATTGATGACGAACATTCTAATATTGGTGCTGATACCTTAATTACTTGCAAGGTGTAAACTTAAATTTTAATTATAATTTTAAATTCTGTAAGTACAATTTGACGACACGTGGTAAAGCGTCAGATTTTCAAAAAGACACGCCACTCATCAGAGCAGATCGATAGCATTGCCAATGGGCACAAATCACTCTGAGGGAGACGAAACAGACAGCTTTAGCTTTACTATAGGAACTTTTTTTGCGAGATTCTCATCCTCTGAAGAGCTGCGACGCTTTTGGGGGACAACGGTACCGGCAGCGTCATGAGCACTCTCCTCTTGGCCCTCCAGCTTTATTTCCACATCTCTTGGTGGGCGGGAAGCTGTGGTTGCCTCAGAGGTCTCGGAAAAGTCCAAGGTCGAATAGTCCGAAGCGATGGCTTCTTCTTCCATGTTTGGCTCGCTTGGCGAAGATGTACCACTCTTGTCGGGCCTCGGCTTAATCCAGCCAGCGCCAATAAAAAAGTCGTAAATGCGAGATGTTTTGTTCACGTCTATCTTGATAAGGCTCCTTGCTTGGGCTCTTTTACAATGTCCGTATTTAGCGTTTGCCGCAATAAGGGTCTCCTTGATGGTTAAATACAGCCTTGGCAATATTCGAAGTATAGAACACAGGTTCTTTTCGTTAGTGGACAGCAACTCGATGCCATCGGCATCTGAAATATCCAATGGTACCCCTATTGATGAACGCATGTTTCAATACCCATCCCCCGACGGACTTGTGGGCCGGGAGTGCCGCCTGGTTTTGTCATTGTATTTGCTAGCTCCTAAGAGGGTAGTAATGCATCCAAAGGGCTACCTTGGGCGTAATCTTGATCGATATATTGGCGGCTGATTTTATTTGGTCCTAGGATGAAAAAAGAACATCTTACATTGATGGCGGTGGCCTTTGAATTATAATTGAGCGCATGCTCAATGGTACGGAAACCTTTTTTCCTTAGCGTTTGTAAATGATGGATATATTTCTTCAAGTAAAACTCGTCGATAAAGTCGGCTGTCAGCAGGGCAAAATCTTCTTTGCTCATAAATCGAGCAAATGGGATCAATGTTTGATGGATGTCCTTCTCCTCCTTTGCCCGATCCTTATCAATGGTGGTTAGCTATAGAAAAGACAACAAAGACTACTTTCTTATACTCTACAAGGTTGTGTTCAAAAATGGTTCTCTTCCTTTCCTCTCTTTTTTCAAGCGCATCACAATATGTGAAGAGAATTGCGAACTTCAATTCTGAGATAAAAAACCAAAGAAACCTCTCACCTCTTTCAAATTCATTGTCCGTATCCAAAAAACAGATGTCCTTTACAAGATGTTCGGCATCATTTTCAAACTCGGTCTCAAATTCTTCTCGCTTTGGCATGTATCCAACCAGCTCGTGATCAGAGGGAGAGGACGAAATAGAATTAGCAGGTGGCTCTTGAATTGGTGCCTTGATCTAAAGCTAAGATAAAATGCTACCCACCTTGCACAAAGGAAGCTTGAATCTTCCAGGCACCATCTGGCTCTGATGAGGGACCAGTGTGTTTTTGTTGCTCAAATAGACATCCCTATAGTGGGATTCACATTCTTCCGGTGTCTTCGAGCCAAGGTAAAACGAAATGTCAATCCAGTTTCCAATCCCAACCTTTTCCAATGCTTCAAGCAGATATATTTCTTCATCAGCCCTCCATTTTGGATCGAAAATAGGAAAATCCAGCGGCTCCTAAATTTAGAATGGCAAGATAGGCGCTACCTTTACATAGTAAGCATGGGTTGCTTTGTGCTGAGGGGGCGGGGAGGCGTTTTGATTTTGTGGAAGCTTTTCCGTAAAAGAGGGAGCTGGAGTTGAGCCGGAAGAAAAACAAGAAATGCAGAGATCAACATTGGAACATTCGGCACAATTGATATAAATTGTATTGGAAATGTCGAGATGGCAAACGTCACACATACATTTTGCACCAACTTCTACACAAATGGGAGGGATCAAAGGATAATGACAATACCATTAGCATCGATGGAGGACGCATAGATTCGATTGGGATATGTTACGGTCATTGAAAAATAAAAAGTTATCAAGTTTATTTACAACAAAATTTCTCGATTTTGCAATTAATTCAGATAGCCCCTACAAGTAGGGGCCCTGCAATGGCAAATGAGCTTATCAAACTCTTCTATGGGAAATTTGTAGTCATAAGTTATTTCCTGCCAAGGGTCAATGTGTTTTTTGGCATAAATTCCGATTTTTATGCCACCTGATGTATCATTGATTATCACGGCATAGGAGTTTGGATCGCAGGAATGGTTCATAAACCTTGCTATGTTGCCTTTGGCAGTCGCATCGACGACATAGTTGTCATCGCATCTAAACAAATAGGAGGATCCGATGCCTAGCGATCAATGACGAGCAATTACCATTTTTGGTGTAATACTGTTCCCTCAAAAAGGCAACTCTGCTGGAAATGAGCTCCCCTTGGTAATAAACGATCAGGTCATTTGGTTCAATTTGATACGAAGTAAATAGCCCCCAAAAATGAATACAAGACCTTGTGACGAAAAGAAATCTTTTTGGAACATCACATGCCACGGCATCGCTGAAATCAGGCTCACAAAGTAATAAAAACGAACGGGCCCAGTTCATGTCTTTGGCATCATTTTCGCGGCTCCACAGCTTATTTTTTATGTGCGATAAATACCCATCGATGCGAGCACATCCATTGTCGGATGGCGTAACCTTTGACACGGCCTTTGAGGCCTTGCTTTTTTTAAATGGGGAATCTATCGGCAATTTGGTGGAATTGGCAAATTGGACCCATTCGGCCTCTGACCATAATTGTGGCAACTGCTCATTCATAATGTGCTTTACATATTTGCTTGCTTTTGGATTTATATCCAAAGATTTTGAAGGTTTTTTGGGGGGTTTTCTGGTCTTTGTTTCATCGGAGCTTGGCTAAGGACAAAATATTGCAACCGCACTTACCTTGTTGCAATGGAGAATGCTGCTCTCTTTTTCCACGTGTGGAGTGATGCTATTTTTCTCAACTTTCATAAACACCAGCGGCAAATTCAATTTTGAGAGCTCCATATGATCGGCATTGGTTAGCTTTGAAGCCTTTGTTTGGAGTTGACCGCTGCCATTGCCAGCTTCAATAAGACTGGAGCTGGGTGTGCCGCCAGATGCGGTCTGATCGATAATCGGAGCAGCAGGATATGTCAATGCAAGCAAAGTCGGCTTTTCAATATGTTTGTATCTCTTTTGAAAACAAAATGGCTTCAATGCAAGCAAAGAGGTCCCCCCATCAAGAAGGCCTTTGGGATCAGTACAAAGCGAAGCAAAACTCAAGCTTTGCTCATTTTTGAGCAATGAATTTTTCAAGTATGCATTTAATGGGGCTTGAGGGGCCACCATTGAGATGGTTTCGTGAAAAATGTCTTTGTAACCACAGGTCTGAGGAATCAGGAAGATTTTTTCAAACTCTTCGAGATCCATTCTTTTTGATTCAGGAGTTTGATGTCCCCTCAGCTGAACATGATACAATGCTTTAATGGCGTTGAATTCCGCCTGGTTTTCGAAATCTGCATACCGGATCTTATGGGAATCACGCTCCACGCGCTCATTAATGCAATCAAAAACCATTTGGGATATTTAAAAACCCGAATTTGCATTATTCATGCATTTTCATGCATTTGCAATATTTCACGAGTGTTGTTAACATGCATGAGGTGCAAAACGGGCATTTTGGTGTCTCAACGGATGGTTAACGCCAACGTAGGAAGGCTAACGTTTAAAATAGGAATCGATCTCCTCCTTTCACAGCAAAGGCTCCATATTTTCGCTTGCCCTGTTTGACGTCGATGCAGATACCTTGTTTATCACAAGAAACATCGACCTCTCCCTTATAAGCTACATCAGCCAACGTCAGACGGTTATTGCTGATGTGTAGATTTGCAAATAATTAACTCCGATGTTTGTTTGCACTCGATCAATCTCAACACCAATGCAATGTCATCTTTGATTGAAATTGGTTTTCTCAGCAATGCCAAGCTAACTTTTAGTTGAAAGCATTAATGCCCAGCGTAATGAACCTCTAACGCTGGAGCCCGTCGAGATATCTTGGTTCAAAAGCAACAGAAACATACTGCTATCTACTTCTGAGGCTGCACTAAGGAAAATCAATCTTCAAGAATACAACCTATCGGTAGCGGCTCTTTTTGATTTCTAAGATCAGCTGTGCTAATGCTATTTTGAAATACTACCGAGCGGCTTTCCATTCTACGCCGACCGAAATCTTTTCAAAGGTCAAAATCTTCTCCATGTATGCGCACACATCCATTAAATGATAGCGATGACTTTATGCTGATTGATATCACTTCTCTTAGGTTGCCCGAGATGCTTATTTTTAGATCGATGTCCGTCTTTCTTGATCCGTCAATTAGCCAGGTCTGTTCAAATGCCAATGCCTCGTTGTTTGGTACAATTGTGGGCATTTATTTAGACTTGTTTGACACGACAATTACGGCGGGCGGATCAAAAATGTTGAAAAACTGGTTCAGATTCCCCCTATCCCATGTTACTCTTATTGAGCGGCGCTTGGATTTGATCGACAACATTCGATGTTTAAGCAAATGTGATTTTGCAAGTCTATGCTCCCTACTTTCGCATATTAAAATGCCACAAGTACTTTGTATTTGGTGACGTTGCTAGTTTAGAGACATTTCGCTGTATGATGTTGAGGAGCTCACAAAGTACTATCTTTTGGCTTCTTCTGCCTTGAACATTGGCAACATTTTAAAGAGCGTTTCTAACGCAGATGCTTTTAAGCAGCTTTTCAACATGAACGACTTTTTGGTTTGCTCTGTGGAAGCATTTGAAGGTATCTTTATTACAAACCCGATCGGTCAAAGTGGCGCCACCTCAAGTGACAATATGTTAATCATCAAGCCGGAATACTCCAGCGATTTGGACTACTACCAAGACATCTACTCCAACATATCTAGTTTGTTGAATCAGGAAGCCATGATTTTTTGCCAAGATTTGGCAAAAAATAACCTTTCCGAAAGGCACGATTACATCATGTCGCTGGTCGACAATTTCTGCATCACGTGCGTGTACTTTCCTCATCTTGGATTTCTGCTTAATATCAAAAGCAATGGTGAAACGAACATCTCTTTTTGTGAGGACTCTTTAGATCTGATTGCCTCTTTTCTTGAGTTGGATATCGTTTTCATATCCATCAATAGCGGCGTCTTTTGCAAAAGCCTGCGTATGAAGCATCTGGATGACGTGTATGGGGATATTCATTCAAAAATCAAAGACATCGAGCTTGATATTTGCCATCATTTTATCACACACCATCTTACCATGAAGGAACGGCGCATCTTTTACAGGATTTGGTGCGACTTGTCGGAAATAGATGCCATAATTTCCCTTTGCATTTCGATCGACAAATTCAACCTAACAAGGCCAACGTTAACTCTGGACACAACCGTCCACGTCGAGGGCGGCAGGTTTGCATTCCATTTTCATGATCAAGGAATCTCGTTGTTGAAAACATGTCCACCCCAACTTTCATCAGCAATAATATCCAAAGCAATTCGGAACGTGGCCTGCTTACTCTTATCACCGGCCCTAATGCCTCGGGAAAATCGGTATATCTAAAACAGGTTTTCCCTCAAAGCTTATTATCATCCCAGGTTGGCCAAATCATCCTTTTGGCACACATTGGCTCCTATGTTCCTGCGAACGAGGGCTTCACAATTGGCATTGTAAAGGAGCTTTTTTGCATGGCCAATGACGGAAATTCTGTCATCGCAAATAGAAAGTTTGTTCAAAATCTCGCAGCAATCGATTCCATCTTGTCACTTTATTCATCACGGTCTCTCATTCTGATCGATGAATTTGGTCCCGGATCCGACACAATCGATGGGCTTTCTTTATTCATCTCTTTGGTGTTGTATTTTCTAAAGCTGGAGGATTGTCCACGAATTTTCCTGATCTCTCACTACTTTGAGCATATAAGAACTCTCATCGACCAGTCGTGTTTGCAAAAAATCCGGTTTTTAAAAACCGAGGTTTGCGATTCCGAAAATATCACCACCTTTTTATACAAGTTAGATTTGCCTTTAACTTTAGAATCATCGAGGGGTTCAGCACCAACAGCTTGAGCATACATTGTGCAAAATTGGCCGGGTTCAGTGATGCATTGGTCGCTAGAGGTACAGCGCGCAACAGTTAACTTTGCCCAAATTAGCGGTCAAGATTTACCATGAGCTTTTGAGCAATCAACCCCTGGAGCTTTTTCTGGAGGCCAATACGGAGGACATCCTCAAAAATGAACTTCCCGTTACCCATTTCCCGGCAAAATCAATCTTGAGCACATTTAGATGCTGGAATGCTTCGGTTGATTCCATTGACTGTTTGAAGAATCACATTGCCTCATTATTGAGCGGTACAAAATGAAATAAATCGTTTATAAGAAATCATGCGGGGTCTCTGGCTTTTTCAGCTCAGGGAACCACAGCCCAATTTCATACTCTGCACTTTTGAGCGAATCAGAGCCATGGATAACATTTGAATCCGTTTCAATCGCAAAATCCCCGCGGATCGTTCCAGGCGCCGATGTTGCTGGGTTGGTTTGCCCCATCATAGCCCTAGTGACACTTACAACAGACGTTCCTTGTAAAACCAACGCCATGACTGGCCCACTCTTCATAAATCTGGCAAGCCCAGGGTAAAAAGACTTTGAAGTATGTTCATGATAGTGTTTTTCAAGCAGTTCGTCAGTCGCAACCATCAGCTTAGCAGCAGCAATCTTGAAGCCTCTTTGCTCAAACCTTTGAAGAATGCAGCCGATTAGTCCGCGCTTAACCGCGTCAGGCTTGAGGATGACCAATGTGTGTTCGCATCCAGAAGAAGCCATGGAGATATGAAAAAGCGTGAAAAGTGATGTGATTAAAAGGAGCAGAGATTTATTGATCATGCAAAAAATAAATTTGTAATAATTCCTTAAATTCCAAATTTAAAGGCAAGATGGTCGAGTGGTCTAAGACGACAGGTTTAGGCCCTGTTCTACATTGTAGGCGTGGGTTCAAATCCCACTCTTGTCATTTTTTGGCCAATAAAATTTTAAATCCAATTGATCTGCGTCCGATCTGTGTGGTATGTTGGCAACCGATGATGATATCCATTCATCTATAAATTTGTTGATCATGTGTACGACACGACCAACAATATTTTGAGGACCGATCTATTTTCTTAAAAATGGCATCTCCATTCGAATTTCTTAATAAAAACGGGTATCACCATCATTTTTGCGCCTGTCTGTTTTCGCCGCTTGAATGTCTTTTGGCTTTTTTTATTCCTTGGTAAAATTTGGGCGTAGTTAACCCTCTAGTATTCTTACTGCAAAAGTAAAGGCCACGTTGGACAAAAAGGATTTTGACTTTCCATCATGTTTTTGCTGGCCCTTTGCCGTTTTAAGAAATAGGCTTATGATTCAAGATCTTCATAAGGACGAATTAAAGGAAGATTCAAACAGGTTTGGTGTTTCCTTTTTATTGTCAAAGCTCAATCTTTGCGGTCGCCCTCTTTCCATTCTGTGCATTGGTCCAGGATGCACACGAAACAATGTACAGAAAGAAAAATCAAACACTCGTGTTTTCGGCAGCTGCATCGGGGTCCAGAAATAGTATACGTGCACCAGAACCAATCGAGCCTCCAAGTGAGAAACGCGCTCGCGACGAGAGTGTATGAAAAATAAAAATAAATTTATTTTTTCGACCCAGGTTGTCTTTCCTTGGCTTTCTGTTTAATAGACTTTTTCTGAGCTTTCTGGATTTTTTGCAGGACTTGAGTTGGGCCGGCAACTTTACAATTTTGGATCATGATATTGATCATGGTCTCTTCCTTTATCTTTTTGATAAGCGAGTACATCCTTTTGGCCAGATCCTTATCTTTTTCATGAGAAGTCTGTGAAAGACAAATGGAGGTCGCTGTTTTTACGGCCTTGCCTTTTTTCAAGTTACCAGGGGTCAATTTGACACTGCAAGCAAGGTTTTGAATTGAGGACCAGGGTCCACAAACTGCAATTGAATAGCTAAGGACATCCTCGGGCCGTGGGTTTCCCGTAAAAGATTCGATAATGGAGGTAGATATGATCTCATCGGAGTAGGACTCTTCATCAGAATGCACGTCCAATCCATCGTCGACACCTGCATAGGTGTCTCTCGGAACCTCTTCATCTTCACAAAGTCTAATCACTTGGTCCTGCATGTTAATAGACTTGGTCGTCTCATGCGGGTCTGCTGCCTCTGTAGATAGGGATGCACCGATGACAGATGTATCGTCAACAACATCAGCACTGATGTTGGTATTTTTAACAGGAAACCTTCGCTGAAGATGTCTTTCTGCATCTTGAGTGCCAAGAATTTCCATCCGGGCAAGTGCCTCCTCAATGTCCTGCTGTTGGTATTTCTTTTTAATCTTTTTCAACTTTCCTCGAGTTCCTCGAACAGAATGCAAAGGAACCACCACATCCTTTTTTGAGTCCACTTTAGAAGATTTGGTCTCATTTTGATTGGTACTTTTTTTCTTCGATTCCTTTTTTTGGGTAGTCTTGGGCGTGGTTTTATTCAGACCGCGTTCCTCGATCACCTTTGAAACACGAGCAATTCTGATTTCTTCATTTTTCAAAAATTCGGGGTCAAGAATAGCATCGGCAGAATAGCAGCGGGTAGATGGCAGCTCTTGTTGAGCAGCATCTTTAGCCAAAGTTATTTGTCGATGCCTTTCTATAGATTCAGAGTCGCCCAGTTTGAACAAGAACCCGAACCCATAAACCAATTGAGAAGGTGCTATGAAGTTTTTTTTTCCATATATCATAAATGAACCAGGTGTCAAATATAGCCCTGTGGGTGGGCTCTTTGAGACTTGGCTTGAATAAACCCAATATGCGCTGGTCACGATATTGCAAGTCCAAGCGGAGGATAAACACACGGCCATGGATGCTGCTTGTGAAAGCGTGGCTGGCGGTGCATTCCATTGATCTTCTGCCTCACCAACGGGACATTTTATCAGCACTGAGGGTGAGCCCTGTAATTCTGCGTGAAGGTAAATGTCTCGCGAGCCCATGTATTTTTTGACAACAAGCTCGTTTTGCGAAGAATTTGTACCAGCTACCACAAGGATGTTATCTGAAGAGATGAACCAAGAAAATTTTTCAAACCACATGATCTTCCTCATCGGGGTCTTGTCGATGGAGTTAGGTAGCTTTGATAGCGCCTCTTTCAAGTCAAAGTCGATTTTGCGCAAAGAAGAGGCAATTGCCTTCGATTGCGCCTCGACGGTTTTTTCGCACTTTGAGGCAATTGCTCTCCGTTCATTATACCACCATTGAGCATTGGCTCTTGCGGAAAGAGAGAGCTCAAGAGAAATAGTGAGCATCAAAGAAGAGCTTGAGGATGAAGAGCAAGGAAGAAGGACTTTCATTGAATTTCTATAAAAGTCAAGCGAGTCTATAATGCAGGCCACCGAGTTTCCCTTCTCCTTCTCTTTTTTAACAAGTATGAAAACTTCATCCCACGACATTCCGGTGGCAAGCGCAGATTGGATGGCCCAAAGCGCAGCATTAACCAGATCTTCATTTTCTTCAATAGCCAGAGCCTTTTCAAAGGCATCTGCTTCAGAAGATTTCAGCTCGACGATTCTCATATCCAGCGTTTCCCTAACTGCCGCCTTCCTTTGTTCTGCAGTAGCTTTCAAGTTTCTTTCCCTTTCAGCAGCAAGCTCTGATTCGATGGTTGCATAAAAAAAGTCCACACACGCTGCAAAAGAAGGATGCTTATCGACTACAAAGGACCCTTCCATCAACGGGAAAGGGACAGGAGAATATTCCTGCAAAGACCCTGAATCTGATCTCAGGATGTGGCCGGAAAAAGAATCTTCGTAAGACGAGATTTTTGCAATAACAGACTTAATATCGCGATTGCCACTCGTATATAGCGATATGGCCTCTTGTGCAAGGATCGTAGATCCCTTGAAAAATGGAGAAAGAGACACCAGTTTTTTTGGATTAGAGCATGAAGCTAAAGCCTTTGCGAGCGATGCTTCCACATCGGAGTCTTGCAAGTGCGAAGCATATTGACGATACGCCATATTTACGTTGATACTGAGTTTCTCGGTTTCAACTATTCGCAGCAGCGCCAAAATCCGATCGCCGGCATCGGTAATAATGACATTGCCCGAGGAGTACAATTCAAAGTAAATTTTAAACTCGTACTCTTCCCCAACGCCAAATATCATCCTGATAACCCGATCATTGCCTAATTGTTCCAAAGATGTCATTCTTTTTCCCTTTATATATTGTCGAAGCTTGACTAGAAATGCAGATGGAGCAAGTGCGCTGGACAGCGATTTGAATGAAATATCATATACGGTGGGGTGGAATCTAATTCCCGACTCTAGTAAGAGGAAAACCTTTGGCGGGTGCAACTTGTCGTCCAACGAGGAAATGGCATCCGATCTGGTCAGCTTCAGTACAAAGGCCTTTTGGGACAGCTGGTATACATTTTGCACGCGATATGGCGAACTAGAGCATGGGAAAAGAGTGTATTTAAGCTCTTTGCTCATTGCGTGAACATCGAGAGTGGTGAATCGTTGCTTGACCATTAGTAAAATTTAGGCACATTTAAAATGAGCGTAAATTGACAACTTTTTAGTCATTCAATAGGACGTTTACGTAGTTTTTTTTCCCTGTATTCCGTGGTAATGCATTCCTCCACCTCCACCTGTGCTTCTGCCTCCACCTGTGCTTCTGCTTCGACCTGTGCTTCTGCATCCACCTCTTCACCAGCATCAAGCCTTACTTGGACAGCCTCAAAGGTCCGTAAGGAATTCATCGACTTTTTCGTTCAAGGAAATTCCCATACATTCGTTGCCTCCTCTCCTACCATTCCCTTTGAAGACCAGACTCTGCTTTTCGCCAATTCTGGGATGACCCAGTTCAAGCCCATCTTTCAAGGCACTGTTGATCCAAGTTCGCCATTCGCCAAACTTCGTCGTGCTGCAAATACGCAAAAGTGCATTCGTGCCGGCGGAAAGCATAATGACTTGGATGATGTTGGAAAGGACACGTATCATCACACCTTTTTTGAGATGCTTGGAAATTGGTCTTTCGGAGACTATTTCAAACGCGAAGCAATTGAAATGGCCTGGAAGCTGCTAACTACCGTTTACAAGTTGGATCCGGCCCGTATATATGTCACATACTTTGAGGGAAATCCGGCGCTCGGAATTCCAGAAGACATCGAAGCAAAGGAGCTTTGGATATCTCAAGGAATCTCCCCCGCCCATCTTCTTCCATTTGGAATGAAAGAAAACTTTTGGGAAATGGGAGAATCCGGTCCGTGCGGCCCATGTTCCGAAATCCATTATGATCGGATTGGCGGCGGCCGAGATGCATCTCATTTGGTAAATCGCGACGACCCCATGGTTCTTGAGATATGGAACCTGGTTTTTATGCAGTTTAATAGAGAAGCAGACGGATCGCTTCGTTTGCTTCCAAACCAGCATGTCGATACAGGGATGGGATTTGAGCGCCTTGTTTCCGTTTTACAAGAAAAGCCATCAAATTATGATACCGATGTTTTCGAGGGGCTTTTTGAGGCGATCAGAGAAAAGTGTAATGTCCGCCCATACTCCGGACTTGTTGGGAACGAAGACTTTTGCTCTGGGGGCGGTGGAATCGACACTGCATATCGAGTCATTGCCGATCATATCCGGACGCTTTCCGTAGCGATTTCGGATGGAGGTTCCCCATCAAACGAAGGAAGAGGGTATGTGTTAAGACGCATTCTTAGACGAGCCATAAGATATGCCCATGAAAAACTGCACGCTGCCCCTGGATTCTTGTCCTCTCTTGTCCCAGTGGCTGTTGGATCAACAATTGGGGATGCATTCCCAGAGCTCTTTTCCTCGATTCCTCGTATCCAGTCAATTATTAGCGAAGAGGAGGCCCAATTCAGGAATACGCTTGACAAGGGGATTTTGCAGTTTTCCAAGTTTGTTGAAATGGCCAAAGAGTCATCCCTCTCGACGTTGGATGGCGCTTTCGCTTGGAAATTGTACGACACTTATGGCTTTCCGTTCGATCTGACTCTTCTTATGGCTGAGGAGCGGGGACTAACCGTTGACAAGCAAGGCTATTTGGAAGCCCAGGCATTAGCCAAGGAAATCTCAAAAGGAACATTTGCTTCGTCTTTGCCAAGTTCAAATGATGATCCGCTTTCGGAACAACGACTTTCTCAATTTGTGCTTGATGTTCACAAACTGGAAGAATTGTCGAGGCTTAAAATACCGCCCACAAATGATGAATCCAAGTATTCTACAGTCTCCGAAAAGCTAACATCGACGCTGCTGGCAATTTTCAATACCCTTACCAGCGAGCATAATGATAAGCCGTTGGAAAGCCTTTCTGCTTCGACAGAACCGATTCCCTGTGCTTTGGTCTTTTCCCGCACCAATATGTATGCTGAGGCTGGAGGACAAATCGGAGACTCTGGCTCGATTACTCAGCAAAATACCCTTTTCGTTGACATTAAAGATGTCCGCCGATTTGGCTCATATGTGGTCCACTTGGGCTTTTTGGCGCCTGGCTCGTCGATTTTTACAAATTCAGAGTACGATCTTTGTTACGATTCGCAGAAAAGAGCTGCTCTGAGAAGAAACCATACTGGAACTCATCTTTTGAATTGGGCAATTTCATCCACAATTTCTGGCTCTTCTCGAATGGACAAGGTAACCGACCAAAAGGGATCGCTCGTGGCTGCAGATCGTTTGCGCTTTGACTATGGAGCACCTAACCCTCCATTGTCAATTGAGGAATTTGTTGAAATTGAACACAAAATCAACGCCATCATCCGGACAAATGCCCCTGTGATAACAAAAGTCGTTCCGCTGGCAGAGGCTCGATCAATCCCAAATCTAAGAGCCGTTTTTGGTGAAATATACCCCGATCCCGTTCGTGTTGTCATGGCAGGAGATGAAGCTTCTGTAGAATTGTGCGGTGGCACCCATGTGTCGTTTTGCGGCGATATTTCCGACTTTGTCATTACCCAGGATAATTTGATTGCAAAGGGAATCCGAAGAATCGTGTCTTTGACTGGACCCCAGGCTGCAGAATCAAGATCTGCTGCCAAATCCATTAGAGCCGAGTTGGATAGACTCGACCTCAGCGATTCGAAAAATGGCAGCTCTCTTTCCACTTTAAAGTATCTCGCCAAAAAGATTGACGATACCGACCTTCCGATTTATGAAAAGGCTTCCCTGCGTCAATTGTTAGCTACCGCTAGGAAGCAATGGGACGATGGTGATAAAACCCGCAAAGCAGCCATCCTTCAAAACATGATGAAGGAATTTGAGGAAGCACTCTCGATCTCTGAGAAGCCAATCGTTAAGGTTGTTGAGGGAGCCGATGGAAAAATACTTTCATCTGCCTTGGTTCCCTTTAAAGCCAAGAAAATCCCTGCGCTTTTATTGTCGCACGATGTTGAGAGCGGCGCTATTTGTTTGATTGCATATATCCCCTGTTCGCTTGGAGTTACCCCTATTTCTTGGCTTGATGCGATCAATCATTTGATCTCTGCAAGGTACGGCGCTGGTAAGGGAGAAGTTGCACACGGCACCGCAGTTGTTGGCGACGTTTGCACGGTTAACGAGGCCGTTCGTGAAGCGCGTATGTTTGCCGACAAATATTTCAATTAAAATAAGCCACTTTAACGAAATGTTTATTGCCAAACAAACTAGACCCTCTATTGAGGGTCAACCAAAAGTTCTTTAGGCGGTTCTAGGTTCCCCGGAAAGCGGTTCTCCTCAACATACGAATCCCATTTAGAAATCTACAAATCAGAAAACCATGAGCGTCCCTACCCAGAGAGGCGGACACATGATTTTATAGATCCATCTGAAATGTTCACAAGGCTTGTAATGGTCGCCCTTAGCGCGAATGCACTTTTGATAATCTACGTAATTTTGCCAGCAATGTTTGGTTTGATTCTGGTGTGGAAATCTAGCATCATATGGAGCGGTCTCCAGTTTGAGTTGCATTTGATCAAACAAGAGTGCATTTGCCTTTCCCCGCAGGTCCTCTAATTGAGCAAGTTGAGCCTCGGCCTCTAAATCGGCCTCCGACTTGAACGGCTGGTCGATGAGCTCCTCATTTTCTGGGATGATAATCATTTTATAAATGGCACAAAAATTGCCTGTAAAATGGTGGGCGTTTTAATTGTAATTTTCAAACATAGTCATCTCCAGCTTGGTTTGCAAAAACACCAAATATTTTTTTAGTGAATTCTCATCCAGAGAGGTGGATTCAAGTATGTTCAGCAGGGCCTTTGCCTGCTAATGCACATTTATCATACAAAGGCATACCATTTTTTGTGCCTTTTCGTTTTGCAGGTGCTTGATCCTGCCATCTGCCTTTTGTTTTGTGCTATTGACGCTCGCTCTTATCGTGGAAGATATGTCGTACGCTGTAGATATGATTGCCTGATTGGAGATGTAGTTTCTTGCAATTTTTAGCCCTTCAATGATTATGACAGCCACGGCATACCGTATTGATGGTCATTTTTGTAGCCGCTAATTAGTTTATACGAATGAATTATCTGGTCCGTGGCTAGTTGGGATAGCTGCGAAATAAAGAGCCTGCTCACTTACACTTGATTGCATATGAAAACAGGCGACATTGGGATGGTACGACAGGGCTCTGATGATCTCGGGAAACGAGCTGATGGTAAATGTCGTGGCCTAAACGTACAAGGAGATGATGTGGACTACCTCTGTGTTTGCCAAGTGCTCAAAGATGGTGAATAAAAGTGCAATGCCTTCGTTTGGTGCAGTACTTTGGCAGATTTCGTCAATCAAGATCAGGGAAGAATTAGGGGCATCTTCAAAGGCCTCCAGTGAATAAAAAGTTCTTTCCACAAAAACAAGCTCATTAAACAGCGAAGACGAATTGTTGATCGAGGAAATAAGGTTTGGCATCACCGTTTGAATATTTGTGATTATCTTTAACGAGCAGTACTGTGCTGGAACAAAGATCCCAATTTGTGCCATAATTTGGAAGCATAAAATTTGCTGCAAAATGCTGGACTTGCCGCTCTACCATTAAAGCGATCACGGGGGGAAACACGGTACTTGGTTGAGACCGGAAATCAATATCAGATTTACCCCATTTCCAGAATACACCGAGTTTTCTATGACCGACCCAGAAAATTGGTCCGAGCTTTTCCCAAGAAGAATGGGATTTCGGCCTCGTTTAATGGCCATCACGTTAGAAAATACAGGCTTCACTGACGAATTATGCAATGCAAACCACGCACCGGTGTCATTCAGCAGCGAATACGTGGCGTTTGAAAAGAGCACATCCAAAAGAGAAATGCCCTCCATGATATTATGAAACAAATAGAGCTTTGTCTGTAAACTATTGCACAGGCCCACCAGGAGTCTATACATCAGGGAACGTACAACTTGTGCGATAGCAATAGGATTTCCGACTTTGCCTCGCTTAATCTCCCGTTAAGTTTGACCTATGGCCGTTAGCGAAACACGCAAACAAGGTCAAGGGTAGCATAAAGAAACTTTTCGTTTTCCTCCTTGACAAGTATGAATTGGGGAGGAGGACAAGCGGAACGAGCGGCGTTATCAATGTTTTCGTCCTTTGAGTATGAAAATAGAAACCCGTATTTTTTTGACGAAACCAAGTTGATGTCCGGATATTGCTCTACTCAAAAGCAATGCAACAAAATACTTGCAACAAAAAAATAGTATTCCAAAATATCGTCACACAGTTCAAGATAAATTCTCCTTGCTAAAATGGCGATAATCATCGTAACGATACCAATTGACAACAGGGTATTGTGTTGCGACCTGACCTGAAAAAGCTTATAGTGCAATCTTTTCTGGGAGTTGGTCAGTTTTTTGATGTCCACAAAAATCTTGGGCGCATCAACCTCAATAAATGAGGCCAGTTCTTCTTCCAAACTTTCGAAACTATTCTCAAGTAGGATCTAAAGCAAAAAAAAGCGTTGGAAAACCTTTTTGACTGCACCGAATATTGGGGAGCCGAGGCTACTTAATATGCTCAAAATATTCTTTAATTCTCCAAGTGCCGACGTCAGGTCGATCAGCGATTGGATGCTGAATTCAATATCAGAAAGCCGCTTGAAGTTAGTAAGAGAAGTGCATCTTCTCAGCACTTCAACGCCAAATTTAGACAGTTTGGCGAGAGAATTTCCCAATCGGTAATATTGCTCCTGATTGGACACCAGCTCTTCAACGCCATTTAATCTCTGCAGTATTTCCTCTTTGTCTATCAATGGCTGCAAAATGTGCTGTCTAAGCAACATTGCTCCCAAGTTTGTTTTTGTATGGTTGAGACGATGGAAAAGCGTGTTTGTTTTGTTCATCGGATCTGAGCTTGTGTCCAACGAATATTTATAAGAGGTTTTTGCATCAATAAAGAGCCTCTTTTGATGCTGCCAGACGGCAAACGTAATCGGATCGATAAGAAAATTTAAAAAGTGCAGCTGCAAGTACTTAAATAGTCCTGAAATTGCGGATCTACAATAGCTCTTATCCATCAGATAATTCTTTATGCTTGCAGGCTCAAGAAAATACCGGTCCACAAGCACATGCACTTCTTCTGCCCGAAATAATTGCCTCGCAGCGGCTTCAATTGAAAACTTTTTGGCAAATAAATCGTGGCAAAGATCTTCTAAAATGGATTTCAATTTGACGCATTGATGGTCAGGTATTACGATGATGCCTGGCTCATTTGCAACAATGCAATTCGAAACCAGCGAGTAGTGACTGGTATCTTGGAACTTTGAGGAAAACGAACGTCAAACCAATACCTCTGCCAGCATTATGCTCTTCGACTTGCTATCAAATATTGAGATTCCAAGCTTTGCTTTTGCGGCTTTCGATTCGAAAATGACGAGTATCGTTTTGGATACGCTGGCACCGGAATCCTCATTGTCGTCCACTGCATCGTCCAAATATTCCATTGCAAAAAGATTTTGCAAAGCCAATGAAAAGGATCGTCGTATGTACACTCATGCAATAGCCGAAAACAGAAATCAACGTAAAATATTTACAGCGATGCCCCCCCCCCGCCCAAGACAACTAATTTATCGCTGCTCAAATTGGAATCGGATTTTGGCCAATTGTGGTGGAAATTGTGTTGAATTCAAGAAAACGGCGTGGATTTCAGAGTTCCACGGCCACCATTTCACACAGGCAGCCTCAACGTAACAGTTTATAGGCGAATGAAAAAGATGCGCCGCTGATGTGAAAATGTCCTCTTTCCGTATCTGTTCCAAGCAATATGTTGCCCTTTAAAACCTGCCTCTCGACACTTTTATTTCATACACATATTTAGATGGTGCGTCAATGGTGGCGTTTTTTTACATACTGTCTTCTAATATCACTTAAATACGCACCCTTCAGATCTAGTGACTTTGAATCTCCTGGGTCAAGCCAGAATTTTAAACTATTTGAACGCGAGGATTTCGTATGCATTGACGCAAAAATTGAGCCAAAGATATCAAATCCGGTTGGGTTTTTACAAGATGAGGCACCGCCATGCAGCTGCCCGACAATCAATCCATCCTCGTTGAAAAGCGGAGCGCCAGAGGAGCCAGGCTCGGTAACGCCTTTACTCCATCTGCTGACCTTCCAGTGGTAGTTTAGTGGACATTCGTTCCAGCAACTCAAATAAATTTTATCAGGTTGACCGGAATCAGGTGTCACTATGGAGATTTTTTTCACATCTCCGGAAGGATGGTGGATACAAGCGGCGGATTTGGGAGCGATTTGAGAGGCCGACCATCCTGCCAGGAACACGCGATATTTTGAGGGGATGCGCTCTTGAACCTCGAAAAGTGCAAAATCGGACTCTTTGGAACGAGCTAATGGGGGTCAAAATGTAGCCACTTACCTAGCAGCTTTAGCCCTTGTACGGTCTGCGTTAGGGGCCAATCCCTTGGCGTGTTCACACACACTTTGGATTGGTAGTTAAACCCAAGAATATTGTAGCGAAAGTCCGAATTAAACTCGTTCACACAATGGTCTGCGGTCAGAAAAAGCTGCCGACCATCGAGATTCCGATTGTTGATCATGGATCCACTGCAAAATTTCTGCCCATTTGAGGTCATCACGATGGCTACCGACTTTGCTTGGTCAAGAAGCTTGCTGCACTCTGAGCAAGCTGGAGCATTAACGTTACAAATGCCTGCCCTTGTGCCGTTTAAATTATCGGCTAGCTGCTCTTGAAATGATTCGTTATTTTCTTCATTAGAAAATTGGGAAGAAATGGCCTCGCATTGGGCCTCGAATTCTGGCCGATCGTCCAAATAGGTGGAAATTGAGCGAAATCCATGCACGACGGAGAAAATGTGCAAAATTGGGTCTTCCTTGACAAACTCTGGAGAATAATACTCGATGAGCAAGAAGGATCCCGGAAGCGGAGTGGTGGCGAATTTCATGTGTTCCTTGTTGTTTACAGCGGCCGTGTATGCACCCAGCATTGCGGTTTTTCCGTGGATGTAAAGCTCGCTTCCCTCTGGAAGCCAGAAACGGTCAAAAAGAAGATTCAGCGAAAGCGCCGTTGGCGACTTGATACCGAGCTTGAGAATGCGCCCCAGCCCATTCTTCAATGTGTACCACGTGCCTTTTGCAACAATGTCAATGTCCACCGTGATGCCTCTTCCAAAGGCAAACGAGCCGGAGTGGATGGCCAATTGTCCCATCAATGCAGCATTAAGAGTTCCCGCTGATGCGTCTGCGTCTTCGGGACGTTTCTCGCCCTCATTGAACATGCTGGTGATGTTTTTTACCAAAGCATCCTCAGGCATTTCTGGCGGCTTGAACGCGCCATATGCATTCGCAAGCTCTACATCGTCGTTGCGAGATTCATTATTTGGCAAATATTTATCTTCTTGATCTCCAGAATGTTGCCCTTCATTTTCGCCATTAGGAGGATGATAATTGATGGGATCAAAGCCGGCATAAAAAAATTTGCTTCGGCTGTTTTCCTGCAGAAGAGTCTGCAACATCAACGCGCAATTATCAAGCTTTGGAAGCTGAATAATCGAAAGTAGTTGATTATCGATGTCTACGTGCTGCGAATCCCTTAGCGATTTTTTTAGAACTTGTAGCCTTCCCGGCCGCTGCGCTTGTCCATTTGCAATCGATGCTGCGACAAAGAAAAGCAAAACGTACGAAAGAAGAAGCATCCGGAAATGCTATATGGCGCATCTGAAGACCTTATATTAATGGTTTTTTTTTTGTTGTTAAAATCATAATTTGCGATCACGTAAATATTATTGACATTGATGATTTTCATGTTGTGTGGAACAGAAAATAAATTCCCAGATTTGCAATTCACCAGAGAGGTCTTTATTTTGGCTGGGATAATATAAATTCAATTGCTGCCTCCACGTGACCACCGGTAGCCAAAAGTGCTCGTATATTCATTGATGCATCGTGGAATCCCATATCAGCAAGCTGGGCGAGCTGCACTTGGAATCGCTCTTCGGGAGGAGGAAGTGCCGGCGAAGAGAGCATTGGGGCGGCGAACGCCGGGCTCCCGGCGCTTTGGGCAGTGGATGGGACACCACCTATGTCATCATAAAATCGCATCAATACGGCTACCAGCGGGGTTCGAAAATGCTGACATCATTTGCTGCATCAGGGCCGGGTCGCTAAAGGCTTGCATTGCTGCCTGCATGGCCGCTGGGTTTTGTAAAAACGCGTTATTTCCTAAACATGATGATGATGATCAGGGGAATACACCATCTTACCCGGTTGTTGGCCTCGCATTGCCATGTTCAGGAGATCCGGGTTAGATGCAAGTAGCTGGGTTGTTTGGCGCAGAAGCTCTGGATTGGATAGCATTGCTTGCATTATTGCAGGATTCAACGAAGAGGCTGCAGATGAAAAGTCTCCTGCTCCGCCCATAAATTCGGATCCAAACATTCCAGGAAAGGATGGGGCTCCAGGATTTGGAGCTACTACGTAACAATTACTACCATAAAAGGTTACCGGAAGGCTCACTTGCCAAAGAAGTTGGTTGTGAGGAAGCTGGAATCTGCGCAGCTGTTTGAGACGACGTAGAAGCACCTGATGTAGGGATACTTTTTACAAGGTGAATGGTGGCATCCTCGGCTACGCCAATCGAACCAAGAGTGTCTGAATCTTTCAATACTCTTCCGGAGAATATAAGACGCTGAGAGGAAGCGGGGATCTTCATTTGCTCGTCAATCTTGGCTTTGAGCTCGCAAACACTGGTCGACGCTTCGACTACAAATGCTCGTTTAGCTTCAGAGGAAGACTTTATGAAGATTTGCATATTAGCAATTAAAATTAAAATTTATCTTTGGGGTTTATATTTTTTCCATACATTTATTAAAAATGCCGCCTCGTCATCAGGACGAGCGAGTGGTTTCCCTCGATGACGAGCTAATTTCCATGATGGAATCGGAGGCTCCCCAACTCGAAAAAAAACGGGTTCAGCAAAAAAGACCAAACAAAAAAAGCAAAGTCGTCAACAAACCAGACGAAATTAAGATTCCTCTGCATCCAAAGCAAGTCCCAGAAAACCTGCCTGAACAATGGACATGTTACAATCTCAATCGTGCCTTGTTATTGTCTTTAGAGGCCCTTGGTCTTGGCTTTCCAACTCAAATCCAAAAGCTTGTTCTGACGGAAAGTTCCCGATGCCAAGTTGGCACTCTTCCGGACGTAATCGCTTCGGCGCCTACTGGCTCCGGAAAAACTCTTGCTTTTCTTTTGCCATTACTGAATGCTATTTTATCTCCCATTGGGTCGCGATCTTCGCAAACGTCGCCTTCTGAATTGTACATGTCTACCTGTGCTTCAGATTTGGAGGGCTCTGAAGGGCCTAACTCTGGCCTCTTGAAAAACAATGTAGAGCCCATCTCTGCATTAATCTTGGTACCAACAAGAGAGCTTGCATTTCAAATACATTCCGTTGCATTGGACTTGGTTAAGGGCTCAAATATCAGGGTACCAATTTCTTGTCGTTCATATTCATCATTAGGTAGCCCTTCTGACGGGCGGGATTTCCGTTCAAAAGCAACATCGAATTTTATCTAAAAAAGTAGATGTGCTTATTTCTACCTCCGGTCGCCTTTGGAGTCACGCTAATGATGAAGAGCACGTCTCTCTTAAAATAAAAGAGCGACTTTCGGCGCTATCGTTTCTTGTCATTGATGAGATTGATCGGATGACTGAGGGTTGCGGTCGGTTTAAAGAATTGGAGTCAATTTTAGCACTTCTTAACCCTATTGCAACGATGGTTTTCTCCGCAACTTTCGATAACTTGAAAAGTTCCGCCTTGTTTAGCAAAATCCCCTTTCCCTCAAAGGCACCGCTTTTTTTGTCCACATCCACCGCGGAGATGAAAAAAACCCCGCTCTCCGGTCTAGCTTCCAATGTTTCGGTGCTCAAGCTTCGATGCTGTATCCGCGATAAAGACGCCTGTCTGGTTGCCCTGCTAGAGAAGCCACCTGTTGTCCCAACAATTGTGTTTGTCAATTCAATTGCAATGATAAGGCGTTTATGCTCACTTTTGCGCCTTTTGGGGATCAATGCATTGCCGCTACATAGCCAAATGCCTCAAAGGCAACGTTTGAAAAACATCGATCGCATCAAGTCCGCACTCAATGCCGACAAAAGCCCAATCCTGCTTGCAACGGATGCTGTTGGTCGAGGCATTGACATTCCTCATGTTTCGAGAATTATCCATTTCCAGGTCCCTCCAACCCTTAGCCAATTTATCCATCGGAGCGGTCGAACAGGAAGAGCTGATGCATGTGGTGTATCCTACCTCTTGATTGCACCAGATGATCATCAAGCATCGGCATCTCTTTTGAAGGCTGCAAAAGCCCTCATTAAAGAGGATCCGCAGTTAGAAAATCTTTTATGGGATCCAAATGTTTTATCCAAAATCAAGGAGCGTCTTGAAATTGCTACACTCGTTGATTCTTTTGAACATAAAAACAGGAAAGTCCAATCCGATAAGACATCAGCCTTATTCCTTGATGAAGACGAGTCTTCAGTACAGCATAGCGCGAACAAGAGACAAAATCTTCAAGGAGCCATGCCGTATGATGAAGATGCTGTCGTTGAGCAGCAGATCGCCTTGTCGAAATTGTCGAAAATGAAAAAATTGCTTGTTAAATTAAATGCTAAACACTAACGCGCCATATTTGAAGTATTAAGATTTCTTTTCACGTGTATAGGAAACTAGATCCCAAAAAAATCCAACCTTAGCCTTATTTGATTTCAAAGCCATCTGTCGCAGGATCGATATGCAATGGGTATCTTTTTGAAGGTTCTTTGCACATTTATTGGGCAGATTTATTTGTTAAAAATCATTTTCTAAATGGTAAAATTTACACTAAAGGTCTTGATCCATCCATAGGGACCTGGTAATAAACAGAGAGTCATATTCCTCCCATTCCCGCCCATTGTTACTTTCAGAATCTGATTCAACATCCGTAATTAAAGAATCAAAGGAGGCATTCATTTGATCTATGATCGCCGTACGCGTGTTATTAAGTTTGGCCAGCTCGATATCCTTATAAATGATGTAGAACTTTGGGAGAAATAGAGCACATAGGGTGACAAGCATAGCCACTAGGTTGCTGATTGTAAGCTCAAAATATCGAGCACGCTCCGAATATTTGTAATCGCCAGACACAGCATAAAGGGGCAGCGAAATGATAAGAAGAGCCATGTAGGTGTATATCGTGATCGCAATATATATACTCTCGTTAAAGGCCGAGTCTACATTTCTTGTCAAATAAGCTATGACTCCGAGAGATATCAAAAGTATCCCCATACACACGAAAGATAGAGCGAGACAAACAGTTACAAGGGTATTATCTTTTGCTGAACACACACGGAAAGATATAAGGGAATCGGTTTTTGAAGTTATTATACGTGAGATGTTTTCGCTCGAAAAGGTAATGATCAAAAGAAAAATCGACAACACAAGGATGAGCGTACCTGAAAAAACCAAAAGATCTCTATCCTGGATTACGGGGGTAGATAACCTGGCGTTGGAAAAGATCTTGAAAATCCTGTACGTTTTTGCAAGGATGTTCCCTAAGATGAGGCCAAAGCCGAGAAGAAAAAACCAAAGCATCATGATGCAAGTAAACCTTGTCGATTGAATACTTCGAAATATATTTCCGCCTAAGCAAAGTATTACGCCAATCAAGATTAGGATACAAAACAGCGGAGAAGATTTTTTAATCGGAGGCTTTTCTCTATAATAGCAAATCAAGCCAATAAAGATCAGGCTAATAATGATAAAAAAGATCGAAATTGAGGTTATAACTATCCCGCCAACGTAATCGAGAGTGATAACTTCTGGAATGATCGCGGACACGGGAATGGCTTTGCCACCGCGAAAGTTCAAGGCGCTATAATTAATTGTGGCAATTCCGTCTTTATATAGACCTATCTGAGTTTCCTCTGGTAAACCAACAAATTGGAGATAGGATATTGATGGATTTACAGGGCTGTTGTTGGGAATCGAAATCGAGCCCAGGGCTCTTTCAATTGTCAACTTTCTGATTTCATCCAAGATGTTTACTCCAGTAATTGCGGAGCAATCAAATGAAGTCTCAATTCCAGAATCGCAATCACGAATCATACCATCCAATGCAAGAGCAATCGCATAAATAGAGTCAAGAATTAGACTTGATACGGCCTATTTTGTGGTTAATTAACTGATTTAGCAATCCTACTGATGCTGGGGTTTCAAAAAACGTTTCGTTTCCAATGCAGGCGCATTGGGCAGGAAACACTCTGCTGGGAGGTGCGTCTAAACATATGGTAATTCCTTTAGTATCGGAAGAGCCTTGAAGCCCAGTATAGATGCATCTAAAGGCTAGTTCAAAATAAGTGGACAATAGCTTAGAATATGAAGGCTCCTTAGACAATGTCTCATAACAAGCTTCGATAAATTTAGTTTCAGCAATTTTTGGAGATATGCTAATGGATCCTATAATTAATAGCTAAATCTACCAAGCATATAAGATTGTGGAAACGACATCAGCGAGTATGGCAATAGACTGAAAACGTTGACGAAAGATGTCGAAGCCAGCACAAAAGTCACGTCCCTAAGCGGTGGATATTCGTAAAATAGCTCGAAAACGGTCACCGTTGTCGAGGTAGAGGTAAATAATATAATTATCTTTACATCGGCAGGAATTGCAAGAAGACATTCGGCAATTCTTTTGATGATTGGCCTCGAGCTATTATAGTCAGAGGGCCTGAAATCCAAGGGCAAAATTTGCGAACAAACAACTCTGATGTCGTTGCTTGCAGCCAGCTTGGAAAATATGCCTTTGACCTCATTGCCATACAAATAATCTCCGTAAAGAGCCGAAACTAGGGTCCAATTCATAGCCTTTAAAAGCTGGACAACAGAGTTTGCAACATCAAATCCATCTGGATTAAATCGAATGTAATTGGGCGAAGTGGTTGCAGAGCTCGGGGAAGTAAAGTCGATGTACCCAATCTTATAGTTTTGCAAGAACACTAAGCTTAATGCAGATTGGAATGCAGATCCAGTGCCTTAAAATAAACTGTCATTGGATTACCTAAAACGAGCGTCACATCCTTCTTTAGAATGTAGGAGATGCATGATGTTATAGCCCCAGTGTCGGAAAAGATGGGATCAATATCTTCATAGATAAGCGTCAAGTTTGGAATTATGGAAATGTTTCTGTTGATGTAATTGACACCGCAAACGAACGCAATTGTCTCTTGAATGCCTTCTGAAGAAAAGAAATCAGACACATCCAAGCTTTGCGGGAACATACCCCCAATTTTAAAGATCTTGTCCTTTTTCGCGTTGAAGATTGCAGGTTTTGAGAAATAGGAAGAATCACCATACGAATTTGTGGCCATCGCTGAAGCTTGCCAAATGTGGCACAGTAAGAGTGCTAACGGCCACAGTGAATGGAGCATAGCTGGTAAAATGACCATATGATGAAAGAGCAGTTTTTTAATACGTGTAAACCTTAGCGCGCCAAAACATTTATTAGCCCTACACTTGACACTTTTCTGAGTTGAAACCAAAATTACGGGTCATTTAAATATTAGCACCCAATTGGGAACTCCAAACGTCTTCCAGGTACCTTTTCTCCCCAATTAACGATTCAAACCTTGCCGTTGCATCCTGCTTTTGCAGTTTAAAATGTGTTTGCAACATCTGGATCCATGTTTCGGCCACGGCTTTGCTCATTCTTTCAGCATCCCCACTCACCAGAATATGGGCGTTTTTCTCTAGCAAGGGTAACACCATTTCCGATTCCTTGAGCAGTCTATCCTGAACATACTCTTTGGGAATTTTTTGAGAAAAACAAGGAAAAAACGACGTTATCGTTCCATTGCAAACATACGAATTTAAAAGGGACAAATATGGCGCTTCATCCTCTGACCTGCATCCATAAAAAAGCAGCACCTCGCCAACGGCACCACTATTGACCGGCTTTGTTCTTCTGGCATTCTTTCTAAACTCACGCTCTTTTAAAAATCCAATAAACGGAGCAATCCCAGAACCATTCGCTATAAGTATCAGCGGAGTGGCTTGATCTCTCGGTGGTTTGAATGAAGACCGATGAATAAAAATGCGAATTCTATCACCGACATGACACTCATTCGCTTTCAATAAAAAAGCTATAAAGAATTACCCAAATAAGAAGATGTCATCCCGGAGACTTCCTTTCCACAGGCAGCAGTATAGCTCAGATAAGAAAGGAGCAGCTGAATTTCATTGTTTTCGATCTATGCTGGTTAATGGAGCCAAAAAACCAATGGACATGAGGCAATAGAATAAAACCGGTAGGAAATTTTTTGGAAAACCTCCGGTATGACTTCGATGCTTAATTCAATTGATGGGAATTTCTTTATAAGCTCAAGAACGGTCACGCGGCTGGCCTTAATTTGACTCAGATATGTTTCCTGCAAAAAGAAGGGCATAACATACCTTTGACAATGAAATTTCCTTCAAGGCTTTTTTTTCCTCGCCATCGCTTGCAAGCTGTGAAAAAATTTTAATTGAATATATGCAAGCAGCTGCAGAGAGGTCAAAATAGGAGGTAAATAAATTTCTAGGAGTGCCTTTAATGGCCTTATTTCCAGAGGAACACAGAAAGGATAAAACAACAGATTCCGCCGTTTCTTTGAGATTAAATATTGACAGAGCCTCTTGTACCTGACTGGGCTTATTTTCAGGAAATATGCCAACATGGTCTCCCGGTCGATAATGTATGTTTGAATCGCCCAATCCTAGCGTCAAAGAATAATATTTGGATATTTGGGTCTTCTGAAGCAAAGCGGCATTAAATGGGGTTTCTGCAGTGTATTTTTTAGTAGGAGATGATGGCACGGTAGTTTTGATGGCCCCACTATGCATGGTAGAAGACGTCATTGTAAAGAAATAA